ACTTTACCGTCTTTACTGGGGAACTTGTGCGAGACTAGACAGAACAGTCACAGACACTGTCATAGCCTTGTGTTTTTGTTATAAAGAACAGTGTGTGCGCAGGCCTCAGTTTTTACTCCACCTTTGCTAAACTATGGTCTACACTTATGTCCCTGGGCAGGTTTTGCTGTGGTTCCCACTACAGGGCCATTAGGCCTGGTGGGAATAGGGATGGGCCAGCTCTGACAGAGGTGGTGGCACATTGTCCTGTGTTTGTGTGTACTATCTATGTGTTTGCAGTGTGCATTTGGTACATTTGAATATTGGAGATGTCTAGAGTTACCAGTCTGAAAGAGCGTTGAGAATAAAATCAGGGATGTAAAAGGCGTGGAGGTATCGGTGGAGGAATGCAGGAAAAGAACAAGCATAATATATTTGGTACAGGTTACAATTCCAGTGGGGATAATGAGGGGATGGTGTGAGAGCTTGTCTTTACCTGAGGAAGAAGCCATAGGTTAAACTTTGAACTTCTCACTCTCTTTTTTGGCCATGCAAGATGATGTGAGATATTTGTTGAAGTCTTAGTTAATGTGCAGGATGTACTGTAACATCCTATTCCCAAAAGACTTCCACAGTATGTTCTCTTCGTACCTTCTCTTTGTTTAACCGCACAAATTATGTTTACCATGTAAGGCATAGTACATAGAAGAAACTAGTCTGACAGCTGACAAACTGGATGCCAAGAGAACAGCAAACAAACAAGAGATCATTAATATGATCTGATATCTAAAGCTGAACTCTGTCTACAACCACTGCAACCCTGTGTTAATAAAATCCCATTTTTGTGTCTGCAGGGCATCGTCAGAAGCTTGAGGACCCTCCCAAGACTGGTCTCTTCTCAGACCGCCTCAGTGAGCTTGAGAGGATGAGGGTAAGGGTCGGCGTTCCCACTCAAGCGCCCCGGCCAACTCTCAACACAGCAGCCAACTCCTTCAACCCACAGGGACAGACACAGATAGCAGGTGAGCACCTGAGCATCAGCTTTTACCTTAGACCCTGACCTCTGGCATTACATGGTTGGGATACTTTAAATTTCTTATCAGGCTTTCATGCTTCTGTTGATATGTGACATCATCTTTTTATGGCCCGGTTCCAGGGATACAAGAATAACATTTACAATATGCACCACCCTTTTCTGAACAGTGACCTAAATAATGCTGCTGAGTATGAAAGCTGAGTCACAAACTGAGAAACATTTACTGTATGTAAGGTGAAATACCAAACCCCTACTGGTGCCACAGTCTGGTGGGACCAGCAGTTTACTGCAAAGAATATATCCGGTGCCGTTTGTTACGTGGCCTCCAAGATCGTCTGTCTTTCTCTGCTCCGTTACTCTATCTATCTACATCCCAGAAGGTAACACCATCTCTCACGGTTCGAACTGGCTGCTACCTGATCACCCACACCTCGGGAGGCTCATCACAGGTCATCATTTAGCTCTCAGCTGCTCTCTGCCATGGCTTTGTAGTGTTATTTAGTGGCTCTTTTGAGGGATGGTTAAAAAGTGTAGCAGCGTGGTGGCAAGTGAAGAGTGTCATACACTGGATTGGACAATAATTTCATGTGCAAAATGCATCTCAAGACAAGATAAGTATTTAGGGTGCCAACCATTTTCAGGCAGACACACCCCCACAGCATTTCATTGATACCATCACTATTATTTCAGTCATTTATCCATTATGTTTAGTTACATTACAACTGCGACCATTAGCTAACTATTTAAACTTTTTCATAGTGTTCAGCTATGTCATCTAACCTATTTATATCTTACTATCTTAACTGTTTACCAACTCTGTTTAGCCTAACTATGGATTAAACTGGATTAAATTAGGGCAGCATGGTGGCTCAGTGGTTAGAGCTGTCGTCTCACAGCAAGAAGGCTCTGGGTCCGGGCCGACTCGGGGCCTTTCTGTGCGGAGTCGGCATGTTCACTCTGTGCCTGTGTGGGCTCTCTCCTCCCACAGTCCAAAGACATGCATCTTAGGTTAACTGGTGACTCTAAGTTGCCCGTAGGAGTGTGTGTGTGGTTGTCTGTCTCTAACCTGTGCAGGGTGTACAACATCAGTCACCCACGACCATATTCATGTTAAGCGGTATAAATAATGGATGGATGGATTAAATTAGTTTACAGTCTTCCCACACATGTCATGCTGCAGATGTACCCCATGGCTGGATATCACCCATATAATGACTCTAAGTCACTACACATTTGTTCACAAATTTGATCATAAATCATAAACCTAGCTCACATAAAATGCAATATCGATCGACTCTCATGCTCTACAGTATATTTGTGTTGCAGCATAGACACACTCAGTGAGCTGTGTGCTGTTCATGGTTGTCTGCTCGTACAGTATGTTTACACCCTGGGTGTGTGCCAGCAAGGCTCTCTATGCCTCAGCTGCAAGCACAATGTTTAATATGGCAAACAGGAAGATCTGCTCTTGGAAGGTAAACATCAGACGTGTCATTACAGAGGATGTTGCATAATGAGCCCAACTGATGCTCACTTCGAAATACGAGCATAGACAAACACTTAATAATGTTGACAGTTTTTATGAATGTTAGCCTATTTGCAACCCATTGAAGCAAAAACGTAGAAATGGCTGATGGGTAATTATTCTTCCTTTCTTTCCCTGTCTGTTTTTCTCTTTATATGTCTTTCTGGGCTATTTTTCTCCTTCCTCCTTTTCCTCCTTTGCTTCTTTTCTCCCCATCAGACCCTCGTCAGTCCCAGTCCTCTCCTCCCTGGTCGTATGAACAGACGTACCCATCCTACCTGAGTCCCATGGCGTCCCCCTCAGTCCACTCCACCACCCCCCTCTCCTCCACCCGAGGCACAGGCCTGCCTGCCATCAGTGACGTACCTAGACGATTGCCAGGTAGAACCACTACTCTGCCACTGTGTGAAACCACCCAGTCTCCTTAGTGCTATCACAACTGCCTAGACAAATAAACCAGATTATTCTTTTTCATATGTGATGGAAGGAGGCAAGTGAGAAGAGAAAGACAGATGGTCACACACATGACTTCACAAAGCAGAAACATAAAGACTTGCTCATCGAATTACAAAAAAAAAAAAAGACTAATACAGCACAGCAAGCTGCTATTAGCTCATTCTGAAGTCTACCCATCTTTCGAAAGAATGGTTTGGATGGCGTTTTTTAAACAGCGGAGGGAAAACGATTGTTTCCTTATTTCTGGTATTCAAGCCTTTGATCCCAGAGGAGTATGGGTAATAACAGGCCCTGGGATAATAACAGACTTGTGATTGACAAATAAAGTGTCTTTATAATGACACACCTTTCTCACAATGCATTCTGGGTAGTAGCATTAGCCAGTCTGTTTGCTGTAGCAGCAGCATCTGCGTTCCAATTTGTCTGTTTTTCCCCTGATGAGAAAACACCGTTAAAAATCCCTCCATGCTGCTAGACAAGTTTCTCCCCGTGCACCTGTTTGACTCTCTGCCATGTGAATTTATATTCGATGCTAACATACTACACCCTCTTTTGTGTGCCTGCCCCAAGCTAGGGTGAGTGATTATGTGACAGGGCCATGTGACTCTGCATTAGAAAGGGTTTAAAATCCAGCCAGCTGCCTTGTCAGCTCTGATTAGTTTGGTCTTTCCGTTCAGCTTTCATCTCAGCAGCGTCAGGCTTTGTTCTCAAAGTTACACACGTGCATCTGCACTCACATAAACACAGGCCAAAACCTTGGCTCCCACCTTTACCCACTTGTGTACATCGAGCGCTTAATGCCTTGTAAGTGATGTGACTACAGGCTCTCAGATCTCTGGAGATCATGTTGACACCTCGCCGAGCTGCGTTGTAACCATATCCAGCCACAAAACATGCCAGCAAGTACAAGCAGAAGCTGATATAGATGCTCCAGTGCAAACTCTGCACCATCCCGCTCCCTCCACGCACACCTTCACACACTCCAGGTCTGGTGTTAAAGTGTTACAGCTGCTAACAAGCAGTTACAAAAGTTCATCACTCAAGTCAAACACACAATTCGGAAGTGATGCTCCAGCGTTTGTAAAAATCCTTTCAAATATTTAGACAATGTTTCACTCTGGTTTCATTTAAACTAATAAAATCCCATCTGGCTCATCATTACAGAGCCTCTGAGCCCTAGAATAGCTCCAAATGTTAAAAGCAGAAGTTTATTGAACAGCACCGGTCACGTGTGAGATCACACTGCTTGTACAGCAAAGACGATCACATTATTTCTATTTGAATCAAACTGATTTTTTGGGAAAGAGGGAGTTTAAAGGCCTTAATTGGCAGCATATGCTATCTGACGCTAGCAACAAACCTGGCTTCTCAATTCCTCGATGCACATAAACACTGCGTCCGCTCCCTCCGCTTTACTGCCACCCCCGTCCTTTCGTAGCAGACATGGTGACACAGAAGACGCCTGGTGATTTATGATAAGAGCGTCATGGCTGGACTAAACCAGTGAGAAGAGACAGCAGGGAGGGGGTGTGAGAGGGGGATGGACTCCTATTCCGCTTAAACTCTGCACCCAGCGCGAAGCTTGCTGCAGCCAGTTAGTGGTTTTTGGGTATATTTTAAAGGATGAAGCAAAAAGAGGAACGAATGGTGAGATGGAGCAGCTCCTTCTTAGCTTGCTCTCCCTCTCTGTCTTGCACACTCGCTCATGCACACACACACTCGTGCACACGCTGGAGCCGATGGGAGGCGAGGAGAGGAGCCACATCAGAGCTCAGCTCTGCCTCATTATGGATCTCATGGAAACTGTTTCTGCTCAAAGTGTTTCCACATGTGCAGCTCCTGATTCATCCCAACCGCTTTTTTATGTGCATACAGTATTCACACACACACACCATTCGCTTACACACATTTGCATATGCAAAAAGAATATGCAAATGTATCACATATGCATTTGCATCCGTAAACAGTTATTGCGGTGCATGTAAACAGGCACAACACACCCTGAAACATAAACGTGTGGAGGCGCAAAACATATTAAGGCATATGTATGTGTTGATAACTTTATCAAAACTGAGGAGTTGAAGTAACAACACCACTGAAGTTGATGAACATACCAGTATTTATTGATAAATCCTTTGTCATATCTGTGCCCACAAAATCTATATGCTAATCCAGTTCCACTGAAGCATATATCTGGCTTGAAATGTCTGATTACGTACAGTTCAGTTTACTACTGTTTTATTTCTCAGGGGATTAATTTGTTAAGCAATTACTCTACAAAAATAAATGTTGAATAGTAAAGTATAAAAAGTCCAAAGTCACGTTTCACTGAGTGAAAACTGGCAAACTGGTGAGAAGTGTAATGGTTTAACAGTATCTGCTGCTCTGTTGATGTCAGAGGATCCTAAAGCAGTGGATGTGTGTATATGTGTGTCTTTAGGTTCTTCTGACCTGAGCCCGTTCCCAGGTCAGTTTGAGCGTCAGTTCCCAGGTCTCTCCTCCCTCACAGAGAGCCGTTTCTCCAGCCCACGGATGCACTACCCAGCCACCTTCACCTACACCCCGCCAGTCACCACGGCCATGTCGCTGGGCAGTGCCCACTACCACACCTACCTTCCCCCACCTTACCCGGGCTCCACCCAGAGCCAGAGCGGACCCTTCCAGACCAGCAGCACACCCTATCTCTACTATGGTGCTTCATCCGGCTCTTACCAGTTCTCCATGGTTCCCGGTGGGGATCGCTCGCCCTCCCGGATGATCCCACCTTGCACTAGCGCCTCCACGGGGACCTCCTTGGTGAACCCCAACCTGCCCAGCCAGCCGGAGGGAGGGGTGGATGGCGACGGGAGCCACAGTAACTCCCCAACTGTTCTCAACCCTGGAGGCCGCATGGATGAAGCTGTCTGGAGGCCATATTGAAGAAAAGCAGGGGGCGGAGATTGGAAGTTGACTGATGTCATGGTTTGAAAGCACAAAACCTTTTTTTATATTGAGAAAGGGATTTTTGAGCTCTCATCAGCAGCCTCTACCTTTTGCTTGGAAATAAAGTTGGAGATCAAAAAAAGACCAGACATGTATAAACTTGTCTTCCTGGAATGTCTTTTGACCAAGGCACAACAAAGGGAGTCATTCTCACAGCAATACTGAGAAAGACAATGTTGGTTTACTAGGCCCAGGTGGATGAGACATTATTTCAGTTATATTATAATCCACAAGCTAAGGGATGCTTCAGCAACATTTGTAAAAGACTGCCTCTTTTGTATAGTATTTGTATTTCATCAAGGCTTTTTGCAGAGCATGTTTTTGTACTACGACAATATCATGATGCAAGTTGAGCACTGAGTAGCAAGTGATGAGAGTGACACATGTTACCTTAAATGGTATGGACCATAAATTTAGCTTTAAACCAGTTAATTTAACTTGTATATTGTGGGTGAGACATTGATGTAGATTGAGACATTTTCTTAGTTTTAACTTATAAAGCCATAAATTATGTATTGTATTTGAAACTTGAGTCAAAGAAGTATAATCTGAATGTTTTTGATGCGTCTATATGACTAAGTTAAAATGATTATTTTTTATTTTTTTGATAGGTAATTTAAGAGAGTGAGGTTTAATGTTTTCTTTTGTAGTACCCAAAGATCTAAATCGTTTCAAATATGAAATGTATTTTTCCAAAGAGTATTGCAACATGTTTCTTCTGGTATAACTTTCACTGTAACTGCTCCACATGTTAAAAGCCCAACATCCTAGCAAGGCGTTGACACACATTTGGCTTGGAATTAAACCTGTGGTATTTATTGAGCAATAACTCGCATTGTGCCTCTTGGCAACATACCATGAAAGAGAGCTTCCAATGGGGGAAAATAGTTATCCATTCCATCAGGGGAAATTCTGCTTGATTTCTTTAGTTTGTTTAGTCTGTCATGCAGACAGATCCGTGTGTGTTTTCTTCTCCAAGTAAGAAATGGTACATTTAAGGACAAATTGACAGGTAGCGTAGCCAAAAGATGATTATGGTGGAGACACACCTAGAAGTGCAATCCAGAGCAGCAGGTAAGACTTTAACGTTCAGTTATTTTGTTATAGATGAATGCCTCAGGACTGGAATAATTCTCGGATGATCCCACAGGTTTACTAAATCTGCATGTTTTTGTGTTTTTTACATATCCAGCCCAGATGAATGCTTTGTCAAGATTATAGCGAAAAACATGCCAACACCATTATAGCTTTCATAATTTGTGCAAAAGCTAGCTTTGAAAAGTGTGTCTTAGTGTGTGATGCACACAGGTACTTTGTTGTTGCATTTGCCCCTTTCTCTTGGAGTCTTGAAAAGGAGATACCACGGTTAGAGACAAGAGGCTGTGACATTCCTTCAGATGTATATTTCATTTCTAGTTTTTGCTTTTGTTGACATGTTTTACCAAATCCATTTGTATCATCCTCATTAACCAGTGTCAACAATCAAAAATAATATGGCACCAAGATGAGCTGGAGGTGTGATATTTTTAAATTTGAAATTACTCTGAGATCTTTTTTTTTAAAGTGGTGGAGTAAAAGAATAAAAGCACAAAAACTAAATGATCGGATTCAGCTGCTGGCAGCAAACATATGGGAGACTTGTGTATGTTTTGTTTCATAAAGCACTTGGTTTTTTTTTATTTTTTATATCTAGCAGCACTTGCAGCTGACTGGAGTCATCAGTGCACACATACAAAATGGATGACACTTAGCCAAACAAGCCATTTACACTGAATCTGATCTCACAAGTCAGTTCACATTTGTTTGAAAAAAAGAAGTTTTAAACATTTTGTACAATATGATATTCAGTGCATGGGGGTAATATAATAACCTAATTTGAAAAAGCTGAGAAAAACACAACCTTGTCCAAAGAGCAGACTTTTCTTTGAAAACTTGCAATGCAGTGCTTCTTTTCCAATCTCTGTAGAGGATGTTCTGTAGCTCCGGTATGTAACTTTTTCAAATATTTTTGTTGCAGAAATCTGCTCCAAAGCTTGTCTTAATGTGCAGAGGTGCTGTGGAGGCATCCCTAGACCCAGACTCATTGAACAGCACTGGCAGCAGTGCGGAGATATTAGCTTCTAAAAGGTTTTGAGCAGGACTGACCTCTCTAACCAATCAGAGATTTTCAGTTATTTCTGCTTGATTTACTGTAATTTCATAAGGACAAATATCTGAAGAGCTGGACAGAGCGTGGCGGAGCATGATGGGTGGAGTAGAGTGGATTGATTTGGAGCTTCATGCTACCTCTATCTTAAATTACATACTGTAGCTTTAAGTGAGTGAGGCCTGTTCAGTGCTTCATTACATTGTCCCTACTGCTTCAGCCCAAACAAGAAGTATTTTTGCTGTTTCAGTGTAACATAAGAAAGCAAATAATAACTGTTGTGATTTGATAGCCTTTTTCCAATTACACATGTATGCAATTTCTCCACAGTGACTACATGGATGCACATCTGTTGCAGTTTATTTAAAATTCTTTCTTTCCAATGTTTGAAGAGGAAACGGTCCTTAAAAAATGTTTACACATCAACACAGCACTGACATCCCATTCTGTCCCCATCTGCTTTTGTTTGTGCTGTTTTCTTTTTTCCCCTCAGAAAGTGAGAGGTTCATCCTTGTCTTTCCTTTGGTAAAATGTTGCTTACAAACTGTCATCAAAGACCTTGTATTATTTAATGATCAACATGTATGATATCCAGGAACTGCGCTTATGTAAAATTGACTTGTTACGTCTATTGTTATACTTCTTCTCGCGTAAACACTTGTCAGGAAAATTAAACTAAGGGAGAATCCATTAGATTTTACATGTACATTTCATAAAGATCATCAAGTGAGATTTTATTTTTAAGGAAGAACCATACCTGACAACAGTGAGTGAAATTGGCATTGTGACTGTACATTTTGTTTATTTTAAGAATAAAATAGGAATTTTGTAACTTATTTTTTCTTCTTAATCTCCTCTTTCCACTGTTCCCCTCAAATGAAAATTGTATGTATGTTGCTTTTGCAGATTTTGACGCTACAGAGTTGTTTTCATATTTATTTGCTTGAGCAGACATAGACCCTCAAGTCTCACATAAATAGACTTCCAACTTGACTCGCAACTTGCACCTAATTGATTCCAGACTTGACTCAGACTCTTGAATAATGACTTGTGTGAAAATTAAGAGTCTTTAAGAACTTCTATGCAGTGAAAAGTTTGTTTTTTGACAATCCTCTGTAATGATTTTCATCTTTGTAACAAAACATAGTAGTTGAGGCTAACATGTTTACTTCACTGGACTCCGTTCAGGGTGTTTCTGGCTCATGATTAAGCTACTTGCTAAACAGAAAACCTGTTAGCGTGCATGTGGTGTTGACAATGTTACTAGTTAGACACTTACGGTTATACAGTTGGCAGTTTATTAGGTACAGCAAGCTGAAATGAATGCAGTCTATGACAACACCCTTGTAATAAATCTTCCTTTCCTGGCAGCTGAAATGTTGACACTTTATTCACACTGTTTTGGTACTGATTGAACTGTCTGATCATTTTGGAGGCTGTAGTTTGCGCTGCTGTTGAACTGTAGGCTATTGTGTTACACAGAGAGCTGATTCTGTTATGCAGCCTAGCCTCAGAGATATAAATGGGATGGACAAAATACTAAAAACACCTTAAAACAAGACAGTACGACAGCAGCGCAAACTCCATCCTCGAAAATGTGCACATAGTTGTATCAATACCTCTCTGAGGAACACAAACCGAACATTATCATGAAGGAGGATCTATTGCAGGCCTGCATTAGTTTTAGCCAGGTGTACCTAATAAACTGAAAACTCAGTGTATTGTGTCATATCACAGGGTTGATAAAACTAAGAGACATAAGTAAACGTTTTGCACTCTGCCCCCAGTTTGCTTTGGAAGCAGATAACATCTGTATTGGATTCAGTTTCCATATTTATCTACAGGTTCACGAGCTCAGACCAGCACAGTATTAACCCACTTATTAGTTAATAGGCTGGACATAATTAAAAATGACAAATATTTTATTGGACTGGGCTTTGAATTGGAAACAGAGATTTGAGACTTGACTTGGACTCTAGCTCAAAGACTTCAGACTTGACTCTGACTTGCATTTTGTGACTCGTGAACATCTCTGCGTTAAGGGGGAAAGTGTCTTCTTTGCTCACTACAGATGCATAGGTACAGAAAACAACGGGAAGCTAATAGTGGCCCAACTTGCAAAATGTGTGATATGGAGAATGTAAACGTATGAAATGAACCATATTTACATTTTGACATTTTCAGTGAGGGAGAACGGGAAGCTCTGAAGGTTTTTAAGCAAGTAATTTTTCTTTAATTTAAACTAAAAAATCTTTTTAGTCTAGAGCGCATCCACCATCAATTTCCCTGTCTGCTGAATGTCCATTTAGATATAAAAGACCACTGCTGAGTACACTCTTAACTCTCCAAGAAACATTAAGCAGTGTCATCAATCGTTTAATCTCCTTTGAAACAGTTAAGAAGCAGATCTCTGAGTATGTGGTGCATAAGAAACACATTTAGCGGTGTCATCTCTGGTCTGCCGCTCCGTCTGCACCAACATTGTCTTTGGACTGGAACGAAGGCAGGCTGGGGCCCCGGCATCCTCAGCCAGACTACTACTGCCACTGCCACTGCCATGGCTTCAATTCAAAAGTACACTGGGAAACCGGAGAGATGGAAACAAGGAGAACCAGGGAAGCTGTTTTACATTATTCCAAGACATAATAGAGCCAATCTAAGTGTACGCGCACACACATACACACAGTATAAGAGCTACACCATCCCATGTGTTTTTTTAAGGTTCAGATTGGGAATGTTCTTGGGATTTCCCTGAATATAGATTGCATGGAAAAGGCTCCTGCTGGTTTCAGGTTCACATTCTCAGCGTTCTCAGCCATGTCCAGCAATTATAATAATGAACTCTGGAGGAGCAACGGGACCCAGACACCCAGATAAATTAGCATAATGTCCTGCATGCTCAACAGAGACCTCAGGACTCAGGCAGACACATATAGGTGGGTTTGGTGTACAGTTTTTGTCCCTGTTAAATTTGGTGGTGGAACATGATGCCAGCATTGATAAACCCTTGATTTTATACCAGGATGTAAGTAGTTTTATAGCAACAGCAGCACAAAGCAGACTGTACTCTCTTTATATTATGCAATAAACAGAGAGGGATACAAACAGGAATTTATGAGGAGACTAAACTGCTCCATTCAGATGACTCACAAACACACACAGAGCCCAATACAAACCATTTACTTGACCTCTACAAATGTTTCAGAAGAGCAGCTCAGGCGGGAAGTGATCCTCAAGGGTCCCATACCACACACAGAACTCTATATCTCTGTTTCCATCTCCACTAACAGGGCTGAGGGTTGTGTGTGTGTCTGTGTGTGTAGCTTTTCAGCCCTTAAACAGGAATCCATCCAGCTTGAGTTCTCATTTAGGCCAGAGATAAACTCAGGGCCCCTGCTCTACAGTTTGTGTGTCCACTTACTGTTGAATCAGCGTGACATTCTGACCTTCTTGAACCTCTTTTACCTGGTGTCATGTGAGTTTAACAAATAGAAATGGAGTCAGGTTAAATGTATCAGCCCATGCCCACTATAAAGTACACAAAACTGAACTTAATTCGATCTGATAGTAATTGAGTAACTCCCCCTCCCAGTCCAGGGGAGTTTCAGTAACTGTGTACTTTGGTGCACTCTAGTGGCTTCTTTTTTTTTTTAATCTACCCTTAGGGACCAGGGTGAGTCGCCCACCCATGTGGCTGGTGTTCCATACAGCCAGAGGCAGGCTGGATGTGGCCAAACTAGCGCTTATTATGTTACTGGTGCTGCTACTAAAGTCCCAACACATTTTGTCTCACTGGACATGAGGTTGCACAAGCGCTTGTGCTCTGTAAATGAATGCCAGATATGAACATTTCTTCACCCTCACAGACAGGGGGATTGTAAATGATGACTTGTCTTTTGACCTGTAATAAAAGAAATGATCAGTTGGTGGGACAGCTGTATCCAGGCAGCAGCCCAGAACCTCCCAGACATGTTAGGTTGTAATGCAACCTGACATCCTGTACCAGAAGCCATTCATCACTAGATTAAAGCATGCCTGTATCTTTAGTCTGCTTTGGAAACATTGGATTCTTTAAAACAAATTGCTGCTAGGTAAAATGCAGCTCAGATAAAAGCACACTTACAAAGCTTAAAATGCCTCCATTTAATGAGTTCTGCCAGTTCAGATTATGTAATCTGACACTGGCCACACTGGCCTGAAAAAAATAAATAAATAAAGGAAGAATTACTGTGAAAATGTGAGTGTCAGGACCATGGACAGCGACCAAACACACAAACAAAAGGCCTCTTTGTCCAAGGCCTTTGCTTCATGTCAGTGTTTCAAATTATACACCACCTCAACTGTCAAAAAATGGCAAACTGTTGCAGCGCAACTGAGTGTACAGGACATAAGACAGGGTAAACCTCAGCTCTGTGCCAAATATTCATGCAAAACAGAAGTTTTCCATATGGGTTTTAGCCAGGCAATACAATTTTAAAAATTTGGGAAGGGGCCCCATCTTCATCTGAAACCAAGCATGAAGGAGCTCTACATATTCTTTCTGTCAGATGAAGGGCTGTTAGAACTATCAGGTGAGTGTTAATTGAGAACTAACTGGTAATTCGAAAAGGCCGCACAAATCCAGGTTCACTTGTGATTGACATACAACCCTGGTGACATTTAGATCATGTTGGCGCTTTTTGGAAAATCCACCACACGACCATAGCCGTGTGGGGATGCCAGGAGAAAAGGAGGATGAAGGATGCCCGCCATCGTGTCTGGTTCTGCTTTAGCCATCCTCTCAGTCTCCAAGGATCGTAACTCGTGTTAGAGGCGAGCTTTATGGTTTCTGACTACTGGAAAATAAAATGCTGCATGTTTCCTGCAGTCGAGGTGATGATTTACAACTATGAATGATAAAGTGAGCAGCCGCCTGACAGTGCGGATATGCTGAGGATACAGACATGTCCGACATGTGGATGTGAGTGCGGTCGTATAGCCAGTGTGGTTATATGCATTGGAGCACAGCACAGAGGGAAAAGTTCTGGCTCACTAGACCGTATTAGTACCTGACATCATCATCTCACATAATTAGCACAGCGTCCACATCCTTCTCCAACGACCATGGATTATTTCATGTGGTTCACAAATGGAACTGAAAACTTAACCAGCAAATCTAACCAAGCGCACAAATACACCCTGGGCCACGCTGTCTGCAGACTTCAACAACTCCTCTCCAAAAAGCCAATCAGATATGTTTATTGTTACCTTCGGTCTAAATTTGGGCCTGATTATTTAAATGCATGGAAAAATGTCTTGATCACCTGGCTCCAACAGGCCGTGACAGGCCTGTCCCAACCTCCACAGGCCTCCTCAACTGATCTAACCCAGGGACCAGTATGTGCCAAAAACCCTCTCTGCTGAGGTCGTCAGTCTTGCTCCGAAACCGCAGGCGTGCGCCAGGCAGATCAATAATCCCCATCAAGCTTCACCACAAGTCAATCAAACTTCGAAGGGCAGGCGAGCGGGGGAGTGTTGGGAGACCTGCTGAGAATTTGAGACCATCTAAGTTGTTCTCTGTGTCAGAGTGGAAGGGATGAGGACTCGTCTTCCACAGCCCTGTCTCTCTAAACGTGAGCTTCTGTTATGACATGGTTCATCTGATCTGATTAGACACTTCCCTCTCAGGCCTGACACACCTCAGCTCTCATCTTGTCATGTGTCAGTCACCACCCCACAAGAGGAACCACGGTTGTTAGTGAATGGAAGGAGTATGTCAGTGGCAAAAGAGCGTCATCTCACTGTCGTTCTGAAGATGTCTTCAGAATCCTCAAGAAGGATAAGAAAAATTGTTCCATCTGCTGTGCAATAAAAACTTTTTCCAAGTTGTGTCCTGTTTCCTATGTAGCTATGACAAATGTGCTTGTGCATTTTGTACAACAAAAACAACACTGACAAAGAGAATTATAACTGACAGAACAGTTTAATTGTGGTTGATTTTGTACAAATTGAACAAGGGCACAACTTTTCCATGTACCATCTTTCTTTGGAATTAAAAATCTTTTTTTCTTGTGTAGCAGGCAACATTTGTTTTTCAGCCACATGGCTATAGGAGCTTTTGAGGACTGCAGAAACACCTTCAAACCGCATTAAATGTTGTTAAAACATCCTTTTGGGTTTATTTTAAAGATTCAGATATTTATTATCGAGATGCTTAGGTTTGTGATAACACATAAGAGGTACAGAACAGGCTTAATTCTGGTCGAAGTGAACAAGGGGAAACCGTTTGAGATAACACAACAAATAAAGCCCTTTCCTCTACTACTGTGGTTTAAAAACTTGGATAATACAAGGTAGGGCAGGGGAAGAGAAAACCAAACTTCACCTCAGACTGAAACATATGCATCTGTCTCCTGGGTACAATAACTATGTTAAGCTGCAGCTAAATTTGACTTGTTCTTGCAAGGGGCATTGAGGTCCATATGGCAGTATTTCTTAAACTATGGGTCTGGCCCTTAATTGGATCACAGGTCTGTTTCTGGTAGGTCCTCACACGTCAAACACACCAGTTTGTTTTAATCAGCTCAGGTCTCAAAGCAAGACTCAGTTTACACAATTTATGCCTGAGCTCAAAAGGTTTACTAAACCTGGCTATAAATGTGTGCTGTGTGTGAGTCCCTGTCAGCCTATTCAGTCTACGGTGGCCGAGCCAAGGCCAGTGACGGGTAGATCCACTGGGAGTGTAATAACAGATTAATGTGGCGTGCCAGGCCCCATGACCAGACGTGTTTGACGTTAATGCTCCACTGTATATTATCCAGCTTGCAGAAATGTTGAATGTGAGCAATGGGATCCAAGGACAGGGATGTTTAGGTACTAATTACCAAACAGCAAGGCACAAGTCTCTCTCCATATTTCCTTACTCCTGTGGAAACACTAGGCAGGCTCCATTTATTTTCTTTGACTGTTGTTTCTGGCACGGCCGCGTCTCAGTAAACACCATTCGCCCACCATTGTAAATCCGACAGGCGCAGATCTTTCAAGTTAGACTCCTTTGAGGAAAAATGGAGACAGATCGGATGGCGGTGCTCGGGTTTTCCATCTTAATGAGAGAGTGGAGAAGAGGGATGGCGTTTGATCCCTGGCATGGAAGCCTCTATTTAAGCCTGTCAACGGTCATCACTCTCTCTCTCTCTATCCCCCTTTCTCTCTCTGTTCTGGATGGAGAAACAGACCTGCACCGCTGGATTTGATCAGCTCAGTCAGACACACTTAACCCTTTTCAGGACCAGGATCCAGGCCCCACCAGCACCTTTGCCACAGTATTACTATAATAGATCACTCACCCATCACTTCATGGCAACTTCTAACTATCAATGGTGACTGATCACCTAAAAAAGAAAAGGCAGAAGCAGATTTGTGAAAATATTATTTTATTTGTAGAGCGTTGCAAAGAGCAAGCCAAGTCATCATGCTCCAATTTCATATCATATGTTTGTCCAAACCACACAAGAGCCTTAAGGTTCTTCAAGGAAACCTTGCTATTGTTGCAACCTGACACCAGGCCAAAGATGATAAGCCCCAAGGCAATTTCCATCCTCTGTGTGGACAATGAAGCTTTTGAACTTAAACTTTCAGAGCCTGTTGAGGTTGATAGACTCCTCAGCACAGAGGAAATGTCTCTCTGATGAAGGGCTGGAGGGCAGGGCTCCTGGCCATTGTGGACCTGGCCTGGAAGACGCTTTTCATCGCAGCACTAATGGCTCTACCTAATCAGGCTTGATTGGGACTGCTAAGTAAATACGCTCTCCATTCATAATATCATGTAACTCAAGACAAAATCAATACCTAGAATGAGCACTAATAGCTAGAGGCAAAACAAATGTCTCTGGCTGTAATACATTTTTCAGAATAATTCTATAAGTGACATTGGCATGGCGTTTCAGTGCTTCAAAATAAAGGCACATACAGTAGTTGAGGCTTTTCCATATCTTAAAAATAGGCTGCATATATCAAATTTAATTACCTTTTAAAACTGATTCATGCATGCAAACAATTCAGAAACAAGCTTTGTTCTAAGCTATTGATGCCTTGATCAGCTCATTTTTGTTCTTTTGAACTATCATTGAGTATATTGACATTTTTAATATCACGCTTTTAGAAGCTGCCATAAATCTAAGATAAGTATAAGCTTGAGGGAACACAACTACAGCAATGCCTACAGTAAGGAATCAAAGTCAAAATGGATCTGCCCATTGCAAACAGTTTAGAACATCAGTCACAGATGAATCAAGGTGTCTCCCCAGTACCAGAACTTTATAATAAACAGTGGAGTCAGACTAGACCTCTGTGGGCTTAGGAATAAATAAAGTGAACAACCTTAACATTAGCAGCTAGTAAAATGTTTGTCCGTGTGGGCAGCAGGAGTATCCATGAAAGAGAGCTTTGTGTTATGAGAAATAAATACAGACACAATCACGAGTGAGCAAAAAGCGTTAGCTCAGAATTTTTACAGCAGCAAAATTTAAATCTGGACTCAAGATTGTGAATTAAGTTAAATGTACTTGATTTATCTTTTGTGCCACTTTAGTTTCACAGTGTCTGTTTCTGTAATTGCGTTACCATATACATTATGTAATGAACCTCTGAAGTCTCACATCTGGAGCAGTAAAGCATCTGTGACATCTAACTCATTCACTACAACAGAGAAAAACTTCATTTTCCTGAAAATGCCACTGAAGAAGAATCAAAAGAAGAGTCACGTGTATGTTTATAGGTGATTTTTTTTTATGTGTGTGTGGTGTGCGCTGCTACTCTATTTTGTTTGAGCTCGGGTCAGCTGACGAGTTGACGAGGCCAGTTTCCTCGCCACATCTTTGTAGGCCATCTCGATCTCCTCATCCGCAGCACAGGTGTTGGTGAACTCATCATGTGTGTAGGCGTTTTTCAGATACCGCCACACACCCGTCATGTCTGCGGGGATATCGTAGTTGCGGTACTTCTTAGCAACAACCTAGGAGAGGAGGCACAGCTGTCACTTTAGTGTCAACTGAAGATAAACTTGATTTATAATGTCATCTGATGACATCAAATATCCACCCTTTGGCTGTCAGATGTTATTAATGTGCTATGTTCAGTGCATTCCAGGAGGTTTGATGAGCTGTTGCAGTTTTGTACTAAGCTATTCTATCCCATATCAGTGTTGTAGTACTCAAGTCTGACTCGAGTCCTGATTTTCAGGACTTGTGCACTGATGACTTGGACTTTGACTCAGACTCAAGAATTGACTGCATTCAGACTCACAAGATAGAGACGAGGACTTTGACTCTTTCTCTTTTTTTTGTAATAAGCCATAATAATTTGGCATAAAATACTGACACAGATATTCACACTGTTCACTTCTAAGTAGTGTGTGTGTGTGTGCCTGTGCTTACAAGCGCATTTGTTTGGCTATTGTGTCACACACAGTAAGTAAAGCTCCTTTAAAAAGTGGTGAGAGCTGTGTCAGTTGTGTTTCATGTAGACCTTGATGACTCAGACTCAGGTAGTGGGGAATCGACTTTGATTCAAACACTGGGGACTCGGGATTCAAGGTTTAGTAACTCAACTGCAACACTGCACCCAACCTGCCTAATGTTTGTTTATTTTATCTGTATTTTACCAGGAAGACAAGCCCAAATAATAATAGTAGGAAAATGCAGTTTTCTCCAGATCTGTAAAAATTTTAGGTACATTAAAAAGCAACCGCCTGAAAGAGCACAGCTGGTAACCACCAGATCAGCTAATAATTGTAAGAATATACATTTAGCAGTCCTGCTGTGTGTTTTCTAAGCTTCATATGTTCAAATAAAAGAGCAGTATAACGTGATGACTTTATCCAGAGAGAAGGAGAGGGACATGGAAGCTATGAAAGAGTGAAATGCTATAAATTACTGTGCTTTGCTTGATTAAGATTAACTTAAAAAAGACAGTGTCTACTCGCACTAGTTGCTCTATGCTATAAACCATAGCAGTACTTGTCAGTGGAGAACTCTACTATTTCTGCTTGGTCTTTTTTGTGTATGGACAAAGGAAGAAGCCATTTATTTTGATTATGAGAGGTCGACAGCCAAGCCTGGTTTTTAGTGAACTATCCTCAACATTCACCCTGTAGTCAACATTTTGCCTTCCAAAGAGATGAATAAGATTATTATAAGACCTAATAGACCCAGGGATGTGATGCATAACCATAACTTTGTAAGGAGGATGTTAACTGGGATTTTAATTTATTTTGGATGGTTATTTTTACAGATTTATGACAAGATATAGTTTTGTGTTGTTTCTATGGATGTCATGGAATGAAACTCTTAAATTTAACTTCAAATAGCCCCAAACATGAGTATATCATGTCACCAAAATTCTGTATTTTCTTCAGATACACTCCTTACTTTGACTATGTGCAGTTTAGGCAGCAGATTGCAGTCTGCAAGAGTGAACTCATTCCCATCCAGGAAGCACCGGTTGGAGCCTTTCTCTTCCTCCATGCTGTCTGCATCAATCTCTTCTGGCAATGCGCTGTTAAGGTAGTCATCCAACTTCTTCAGGGCCTTTGTTAAACCTTTCTCTAGGACTAAATACACAAATCACACACAGAAACACATCAAGAATGGGAAGCTGAAACTGACACAACCTGTGCAGCGACACCATCACTAGATGGCAGCACAGCAAAATATCTGAGTAAGAGCGAGCAAGCCTCAAATACTGTACTCTGCTACTACCTAGTGGAGGAATATAATAATGGCTGTCTTAGATTTTCTCCATCTTGTTCAGTGAGTATAAATGGCACAAAATGAGCAGCCCACCAGCATTGGCCTCTGATTTGGTGTTCTTGATGAAAGCTGAGAACTTGGCGAAGATATCATTTCCAGCTGTGTTGGACTCTTTGTGTTTGGCGGACAGTTTGGGATACCTGAGCAAATGGGGGACAGAGGTAGGAGACACAGTCAGACCAAACCATCTGGATAGCATTAACACCTGGACTGCAGTTCAGCTCAGACTGAAAACATGTTACACACACACTTAGTTGGCCGCCTGCCCCTTATGCTTTCTCACACTAAAGTCCATTTATAATTTAAAAGACTTTACAGGCAATAAAAAGACAGATTAAGTTAATCTGACATGTTTCTCTGCAACTGCTCACACACTGTCTGACTTTTTCTTTGAATGGCAATAATTAGAAAACAACACACCTATCTTGCTTTTCCTAATAGTACACAAAAGTGGTGGCTGTTGCTATTATTTGTTAATAAAGTGTGCAAGTACCCGAGCCAAACATAGTCATTCACCACCAACATCAGTCTTCATCATATACACCACTCTATCACTAAAATGTTTCCTGTGCTTTCAACTGTGTTTCTAAGGTAAAATAAATCTAGCCAAAAGCAACATGTGTGTATAGTCACTGGTATAGTCTGATACTATAAACTACATATTGTAAAACTTTCCAGCTGAATTACTTTGGGGGACAGAGCATTTCCTCAATAAACTCTTCGATTTTGTTGATATCAGTCTTGACCTCTCCATTGAAGGTCAGGAAAGGAGGGTGAGTCCCTGGGGCTAGGTTGTGTAGATCTGCTGGCTTCCTAAAGAGGATACAAAAAAGAAGTATGTTGTAAGGAAGCCATATAGTAGGTGTGCTTTTTGTGTTGAGAGCTTCCATCTCTGATTCCTAACCTCTTGAGGTCGACAGTGGTGACGTTGAACACGACTCCTTTGAGCCAAAGGATCATGAAGAGCCGTTGGGAGAAAGGACAGTTTCCAATGCTTTCCCCATCACTGCCTGCCTGTACAACACATGATGACAGAGCACAAGTCAGAGTGATGAAATACCACATACAGTGGGTAGACAGCTATTAGTAGAAATGCAATCCAATACAACAACAGAAACAGCTATGTTATGGCAGTTGACCATAGATTTGAATCAACTCTGACGTATTTTCAACAAAACTGAGCATTACGTATCTTACAAACATTCACTAGTATTTCATTCAAGTTTACAGTACTGTAAAATTTTCTGTTATTGCCTCTTATTGTGTTCTTCTAAAACTCAGCTCTTTTCATCTTTGTAGAACATGTTTTTCAGATCTGTGATGCTTCGTCACAAGGTTATATCACAATTAAATCCATATTTAGATTAGGTGACTGTTATCATGACTATTAACTGTTATCTTGCTATTTGCCTGGTAAAGTTGTTAAGATAATCATCATTGGTTGTATTAAGGTAAACACTGCGCAAACACATGGAGTAAATGTGTCAACCTTAAATCTCTGTAACAGACTTAAGATAAGGGCAGAGTCAAACCAAATCTACATTCTGGGAATCTGCCCACATATTTCTAATAGGATGTTTGAGAGTTAATGTGCATGCTCCTGTTCAGGCAATAAGCATATTCACTTCCTGTTTACTGAGTCTGCAGTGTGTTGTGTGGCTACCAGATAGTTTACAGATTAAGCTTACTAATATCTAGGTTTATCTGAATATTAGCTAGTTTTGGAGTCACAGCATACACCTGCACTACTTAAGAACCTGTGTTACAGATAGTGATGGCCGAACAAGGCTCCACGAAGCTTCGAACCCTTTTGGACCATTGTATTGAAAATTGGTTCACTACTGGAAGCGTCATTCATTGAGCACGTGGGTGACATCTACTGGCACAGTGGCTGTTGTACAGCCTTGCAAAGGTGACGCTGATGCACTTTGCATGTGCACTGTGAGCTTTGTTGTACTGTGGAAATTATTTAAATGAAGCTGAACTCTAACTTCATTTACACGTGTCTGTCATTTTTCTTCCTTGCCTTATAAAGTATCTTAAATGAAATGCTGACCAAGTAATTGATCCTAAGAATTTGAAATGGATTTATAATTACTGATCCCAAATTACACACTGGACAAAGCAAATATTTACAGGGTTCAATGCTGCACTTTAGACTAGGACTATATTCTTCTGCTGCTAATATGCTGTTGACCTGATTAGATCCTACACATCTTTATTGTTATCTGTTCATATTCTTATATTGACTGTACAATTCTTGTGTTATTTATGTAAATAATGTGCCTTTTAAGCTGAGAGCTGCTGAGAGAAATTTCGTTGTGCTATGCGTAACGACAATAAAGATTCTTGACTTGACTAATTTCCAAATTTAACTTGCTATTTTATGTCAGCTACTTAAGACAGTAGCTTAGTTGAGAGCAGTGGCTTCCCCCTCTTCCTCTCTTTCTTCCTCTCGCTCGGAATGTTGCATGTTCAGGTATTCCTCTGCCTGCTTTAGTGATAATGGTGTCTGTAATAAATGCCAGATGCTATAGCAGCATTGGAGGCGAGGCTTAGGAATTGGAAGCCTCCTAAACGTAGCTAGTGATGGTCCTCTGACACCCGAGGCTCCGACACATGCTTGCTCATGAAGCAATGGTATTGAACCACTGTGCCAAGGCATATTTCGGTCACGTGACTAGTGACGTTCGAAGCAGTTGAGTGCCTCGGACATCATACAAATCAGCTGATTGGTTCAGTTTGTCATGTGAATCACTGGGATAGACCGGGGACAGGATATCCCTATTTAGGGATATCCTGTCGACCTGCTCTGCTTTGTTGCTGTTGTTGCAGTTAGTTGCTTTGACAGTTAGTAGTGTTGTGACAGATTGAGTATTTAGTGGAGAATCACTGTAGATAAAGAGATAGATCAATAGATAGATAGATAGTAAGTTAGAGAGAAATAGATCAATTAGTTACATAGTTAGATAACACTAGATATCGTTACATAGATAGTCCTAAATAAGGTTAGATATAGAGGTTACAGGGGGCTGAAGTCAAGAAGGTACAGGAGTTTAAGTATTTGGGGTCAACAGTCCAGTGTGATGGGGAGTTTAGGAAAGAGGTGAAGAGGTGAGTGCAGGCAGGTTGGAGTGGGTGGAGAAAGGTGTCAGGAGTGTTGTGTGACAGAAGAGTGGCAGCAAGAATCAAAGGAAAGGTGTACAAGACAGTAGTGAGACCAGCTATGCTGTATGGGTTAGAGACTGTAGCAGTGAGGAAAAGACAAGAGGCAGAGGTGGAGGTAGCAGAGATGAGGATGTTGAGGTTCTCTTTAGGAGGGAACAGGATGGACAGGATTAGGAATGAGCACATCAGAGGGACAGCTCAGGTCGGCTGTTTTGGGGACAAGGTCAGAGAGGCCAGATTGAGATGGTTTGGACATGTGCAGAGGAGGGATAGTGGTTATATTGGTAGAAGGATGTTGGAGATGGAGCTGCCAGGCAAGAGGTCAAGAGGAAGGCCAAAGAGGAGATATATGGATGTGCTAAAAGAGGACATGAAGTTAATTGGGGTGAGAGTAGAGGATACCGAGGATAGAGTTAGGTGGAAACAGATGATTCACTAGAGAGAGAGAGAGAGAGACAGAGAATACATTAGCTATCTAGCTAGATATACATATCTAGATATCTAGATAACAGTTGCACAAACACACCCTCTTTACCCACATACCCATGAACCTCTTTACCAATGAACCCCAAAACAAACTTTGCCAAAGTCCATACTATAATCTGTATTTGCACCAGCCCCATGTGAAAATGACATCTGTCTGAATTTGTAGAGCACATCTCATGAATGTAGCAGCACCATTTAAATGTTTCATAACACAAAATATATAAGTGAGGAGCATATAGGGTTACACTCAGACGTGCCACATAAGAAACATGGTCTTCAACATGTGTCCATGTTTATTTCATATTTTACTGTGTCAGCTTGAAACCATCCAACCATGTAGTGTAGTGGAACAGGAATGTGCATGGAGAATCAAATCTCAAAAAATCCATGAACCAATAAGCGACATGTCTTGATTGCACTTCATTTTATTGACCACTAGATGTCCTACTTGAAATCTTTGAGTGGGCTTGTAATTTTGCCAAAACAATGTCGGACCCCTGCCCAGTCTGACCAGTGATGACATGTTTAGCCGCATCCGTCACTCAACCGCTGGCTGTCTAGGTGGTGTCCAGAAAATTATGTGGGCTTCATAGACAATTGGAAAACATTTTGGGGAAACCTGGTATAATTAAGACTACTGCTTTATAGAACAAAAAAACAGGACAATCAAACGTGGACTACTAAATAGCAGATCTCCTTAGTGAATGATTTGATAAGTGAACAACACATTGATTTATTTTGTCTTATTGAAACCTGGTTACAGCAGGAAGAATATGTCAGTCTAAATCCACCTCACTTAGTCAAAGTAACTGTCACATCCCTCAAAGCCGAGGTGGAGGTGTGGCAGTGATCTTCTGCTCAAGCCTAGTAATCAACCCTAGACCTAAACATAGTTCTAACTCTTTTGAAAGCTTTACTCTGAGTGTCTCACACCCAAACTGGAAAACTCAAAGGCAGTTCTGCTTTATATTATATTCTCAGACTTTCTGTCTGATTTAGTGCTTAGTACAGCTAAAATAATCATAGTGGATGACTTTAATATTCATGTAGATGCTGACAATGACAGCTTCATTGGTAGTGCTTTGTGTGACATTAGCAGTAACCAGAGCATTCTAGTCAATTGCCAGATTTACCCATTAGTCAGCTAACGCTCGTTTTGCATTGGAGGCTGCTTTTTGTACAGGTTGTCACAACCAGGCTTCCATAGTTTACATAGTTTTTAAGAAATGGGATGCAATGTGAGGGGCAAAGAGAAAAAGTGTATTATTATGTGACTTTGTTTTGAGTCTAGACTGAAAATAAATTAGGTAGAGTAGCTTTAAGTATTTTATTGAGAAAATGCTCTTAGTTATATCCCACCACTATTTATACTTTTTGACTTTGAGATTTAAACTTATGGTTTTGAAACAGGTTCACCAATGGCTCCAGCATTTTTCTTTTACATAAAACCATCAACTGAGAGAAGAACAAATAAGAGTTACTAGTTTTTGTCTTGACAGCAATGCTACAGATAGAATCATTTCCTTTCCATCTTATACAGTACCTGTATACAGTGCATATGTAGCAGCATGCATGGATACAAAGCAGAGCACTAATAGTGACACTTGATCCACTGGCCCAGCTAAATTATGCATAATGATTCCATCACCTGGTTCGTAGGCCACCAGAGCACAGAGTGCAGAGTCGGCCCGCAGTCACAGAGAGATCCAGCAGGAAAAATACATGCAGGATGAGCAGACATTTGAGAGAAGTAGGAGTTAGTCAGCCTCATTTAATGTAGTCATGATTTGGAAATTAAATGTATTATGTGTAACTTCATTATTATTGTGTTTAATGGAAGGGTTTTGAAATGGCTATTATTACAGATGGCATAGATGATGCACCAGTAATCACCTTACAATCAATGATACTACACTGAAGGGGAAAACGTTTTGCCACTGAAACCACATGCCCAGCTCTACACACCCAGCAAAGACCAGAAAACAGAGGTGATGGTCTAAAAGTAGCCGAGCCAACTGCCAACTGTATGTACACCACTGATGCTCTCAGTGCTGTCATACTGCCTGAGCGCACGTGGTGCTTCTGTCTGTGCATTGTTCTAGGTGGCTAGGTTCAGCGGCACGGCAGTAACACAATACACAGCCGCTGATAATAGTCAATCAACATCTAGAACACGGAGGACAAAAGCTGTCATGCACAGCTGGGGTCAGTAGACCTGAGAAACATGAGTGCATGTGGCTTCTGAGTGATCCGATGATGAGGTGGTGCATGGAGGCAAATGTTACTTCAAATGGCCCAAATATATATATTATAACTGGGGTTTGTTTTTTGTTTTTTTGCTTTGTCTTTTTAATGAGGACAAATGATATGTTATTACCAAGGCAGTTTAGATGAAACAGCGCCTTATATTTCATTCAGTGAGACTGTCTTGAATTTTTTAACACCGCAATTCTTGGTTATTAACCCTTTTACCTTGCCTGCATAAATGCATTCTCTTTCAGTTAACAAAATATACATATATATATTTAGGGTTAGAGTAAATTATATGTAGTTTCAATACAGCATGCAGGTGTAAAGCACTTTAAGAACGCTATTCAGAGGCTTTTTTTCTATTAAATTGAATTTAACTGTACAATTTGCCCACAAGTACTATGTTCTCTGAATGCCTGAGCTTTATCACAGTATGCCACTACTGAAAATTAAGAGTATTAAAATGCATTAACCTCTGATTTTAATCTCATATTATTTCAGCAACCTTTACAAATACTGTAGGCAAAGACTTAATGTGCTTTACTCAACAGCCTCATTATACAGTAGATGAACAGAGGGAACACTTAAAGGTAATTTAGTGTTGTACTTTAATCAGGTTAGAGGACTCCAAAGAGCAAATATGAATGTCGCAGTAAAAGGCTTTTTTCTCAAGTATAAATCAAATCCCCAAAATGTTGCAGCCCTTCCTTACCATAATGCAACCAATCTCGCTGCCTGCTCAACACCCACATGTTTCAATCTCCACACCCAAGATAACTAGAACAAAAAGTGTTAAGATTCATCTCTGCAGACCACAGAAGGTCCCAAAATAACCCCAAAACATTCAGAAACTGTGTCATGTGATCACAAATGGACTGTACAGTAAAAAAAAGGAGGGCATTAAAGAAACCCCAACCATGCTGTCCATCTAGGTCACATCCCAAATGGCAGCATGAGGAAAAAATGATTTCAGGTTTGCAACTACTATGGAAGCCAGCCAAACTCTGCACTTAACACATTTCATATAAAGTCCAAAGTGAGTTTGAGTTCATTAAGAATAGCATTTGCTGAAAAAGTGAAAGCTTGGACTCTCTAACTAACTGTAAGACAAAAGACAAATGTTTAGACTTGAAATATAATGTTTTAAGTGTTCAGATGCGTCACTAAGTAAAGTCACAATACTACACTGTAAAAATGCTCCACTACAAGTAAACATCCTGCATTAAAAGATTACTAAAGTTAAAGCATGTACTGTAAGTATTATCAGCAAAAATGTACTTGAAGTATCAAAAGTAAAAGTACTCATTAAGCTGAAAAATAGTCTGTGTCAGCATTTTATGTTATTAGTATTTCTGGTGCACTGATGCATTTGTAATTTATGTTTGTAGTGTTACTGTCCCCACATAGCTCTGAAACAGCTTTTCATGAGTTAGAAAAGTTGTCAGCTTTTTGACAAGGCATTTTTCAGCTAATCCAAGTTTTTTTTTTTTTCCATAATAGTTTATTTAGCCTAAGATGTAGGAGAGTTTGTTTAAGGGGGCACAATTCCTCAGTCTGTCAGAATTAAAAATTCAATTTCAGAATGACCAAATTCAAGGATACAAGACTCCACTGGACTGGAAAGGTAACTATAGCTGTCAGATAAATGTAGTGGAGTAAAAGAATAAAGCTGCATAAAAAGGAATTACTCGTGTAATGACTAAACAGTATGAATACTCTTGTAAATGGGAGACTCCAAGTAAATTTGCAAGCATTTCTAAAAACACATTTGTACTTCATGTACTCCATTACATTCCACCACTGATGAAGCAGCAGAAGAGCATTGAATAAGAAGACTTTATGATGCAAGTCGACTGTGTTGTTAGTGTCTGTGAACCTGAAGTTACCAAGCTGACTGGTTTCCTAGGAGGTGGATTGGCTGGAAATTAATGTGCTGCATCCAGGCAACACATTAACTTTTCCACCTGCTTCCACTTCACCTGCCTCAGGTATATTCATCTAACTCTAACATTTCTCTGGGGGCCTTAAATGCATTTAATTATCAAGAACAAAACAACTGTGGTACATCTGCAGCACTGAATGTGGCACTTCCAAACCTGTACTCGGGTGATAATCTGGAAAACCTATTGATCAGTGAATACCTGTGCAAAAATAATTAAAAAATAAATTCTTGAGAACAGAAATACTTTAACAAGGTATAAGTGAAAGAAAAACAATCCTTGGTTTCCAAGAGAATGAGCTCACCACACACTGTGAAATCAAGGCTAAAAATGGTGTCTTAGTCAATTACACCATGCAAACCTTCCTGTAAAAAGGTCTGAAATCCTGTTCTACCATCAACAAGCAACTTCAGTATCACTGTCACACCAATCCTGGGTCAACACAGACCACAGTGTGCCTGTGCTGCTGTAACCCTACCTCTACTATTAGATTACAGGAACTGTCCACAACACATAGTAATGCTACAAACTTACATTTTAGAAAATACTGTAGTCATAGTTTTGTCTTACCTTGACAAAAAGTTCAATATCAGGGTCTCTGCCTTGGCCATTTGTGGACATGATGCCTAGTTTTGACTGTTACCTGTGTTATTTTAGTCCTTTTTCTTATCCTTGGAGCCCTACATCCTCCAGAAAATGATGAAAAACCCAGATATCTTCTTTGATACTATCCTGTCTCTGACACCTGAAGAACCGTGTCTTGGTTCAGCTCTCCTTGAGTTTCTTCTCCCTGATTCAGGACTTCCACCACCTTTTGGGCCAGTGTAGATGATTTTCTCCCTAGTTTATGTCCTGCACGTGAGGCTGAGCGTTGGCCCAGGTCGCAGTTAGAGCCCTGTGTTCTGATTTAGACACAAATGGACAGCAGAACTAGTTCTCACTGACACCAAGTAGAAAACAGTTGTCAGTCTAAACCAGGGGGTGGAGCCTCAACTCTCTTCCCACCACTGCCACCAAACTCCCCTGTAACCCACATCACTTCCATCCCTTATTACCTTATCTGTTCTTTCTTTCCAAAACTGCTCACATCATACTTTGGTTATTATTTTGTTTGTTTCTGTGGCTTACTTTCCATCAGTATATGATCGTGTGAGCAGCACGATTCATATTTAAAGTGCCACACTGTGGCAGGATAAGGTAGGTTATATTTGATCACCAGCAAGAGAAGATACCTCTTTTAATTATTAATGCCTGGCTTATGGTTTTAAGACAGGAACTGCTGTTCATTTATGGAAAGGGCATATGTAGGGCAGCAAAAATAAAAGCAGATCTGGCGGCAAAAATGTTCAACACATACTGAAGAAATTGGGTGGCAGTCACTATCTGATTTACTAGAAATTAGGACAGATCTCTGACTGATATATCCAAGAAAGAAATCTCTCATATGTGAATGTAAAATGTAGCAGAACAAGAGAGATAGAGGGTGAAGAAGAAAACTATTTATAGAGAGGCTCCCTCTCCTGGCTCACATGCCAACTGCAAGTCAACCTAATTATTGGGTCATTGTGGAAGAAAGAGCTCAGTGTTTGAGGGAAAATGACAGCTGGTTTCTAAATGTGCTATGTTAGGTTAAGGGATGAGGAGAGGTTTTTTTCTATAGAGATAGCTCAATCAAAGTCTTGATGGGCTTCATGCTCATGGCAATAAGAGTATCTGATAATGAGCTGGTCCTAAAGTCTTTTCAAACCGAGGGGAGAGCCTCGGTTCTAAACTATGTCCACTTACTTTACCACAGGTGGACTCCAATTTGGTCTAAACAGTATGAATACTCTTGTAAATGGGAGACTCCAAGTAAATTTGCAAGCATTTCTAAAAACACGTTTTCGCTTTGTCATTATGGGTGAGTGTAGACTGATGACAAAAATGTTCAAAACGTGAAGGGCTGCGCCTACTGTCTGAAGCCATTGTACTGTATAGAGTGGCATCAGTTTTCTTATTAAATCTTGGAAAACTAGCAAATAAGCAAATTCTTCTAAACATCTGTTCTCTTAAGGATTCCTCGATTATCATAAAATCATTTATGGTTAAGAGGTAAAAGCCTTGTTTTCTTCTCTTGAGACAAAAGGAAGCTCAAACTATTGACTCGTCAGGCTAATCATTCACCCGAACCTCAAACAGTAACAGACATTCAGTACTTTACTAGAGCCAAGGTGGAGGGTAGTGTTTGAACTCTCCTCTTGTAACAACATACTTGCCAAACGCCACAGTTTTATCAGTCTACGCACTATATGTCTTGCGCTTTAAGTCATGAGAACAAACCCAATGTATATGATTTTACTGTATGGTCATTTTAAATTTGACAGAAGTAGCTGGTAGTTGGTTGCTAGTTAGTGTTGCATTAAACAGAGTTTGCTATCATACAGTATAAGATCAGTAACAGACTGGCCAGTGAAAAGACTTCTCGGTAATAGTGTTGGGGTTATGTAAGCTTCCAGCCTGTACAGATGGCCTCCTAACTGCCCTCCCTGCTTCTAGAGTGCTCACTTTGGTTTATGGCAATCGTAGAACATTAAACTATTGGGAAATACACCCACAGGATGGATTCACTTGGGGGGTGGGGGGTGCAGAGTAAGGGCCAAGTGCAGTGTCACTTCTGGTGAACTATAGTCACTGCTTATCATGAGGATGATATAATGACATCAAGATAGCATATCTTCTCTATGTGTCAGACTTGTTCTTTCCAGGCTAATACTTGTTCTGGAGTTCATCCCTGTCACTGATGGAGTTTGAAACATTTTTAAAAATTCTAATTTAGCACACCCTACTACTGTCATTTCCTCAAACCGAGCTCGAGTCCAGCCCACTGACTCTCAATCTGTGTCGTCCAGTCAGCCAAATGACCCATGCATATGTTGATAGTACACCTCACAAATCAGCTCTATCATAAAACCAGCCAAGCACACAGGCAGATCTGCTCCAGTGTTGAGTTCAGCCCAGGTTTCTATGACCCCACAATAAACCAGTTAATTATTACATCAGGCTGTCACCAGATTAAAGACACTGAAAATGGTTCTTTTACACACAGATCACTGCTTCTATGACATTTCTTACTGAACTCAATACTTTGTCAGAGATATTTTTGAATATACTTCTGTTTAATAGAGTTCAGCAATGTGTTTACTCTGGCTATAAATAAGATGGTAAAGTTTCAAGTTTTTTGCATAGTATATAGACCCTTTACAGAGATAATTATTTCTTCATACAACATAGTTCTGATCTAGAAAGTCGGCTGTCTTAACCGACTAAATGTATGTCAAGCAAACATATTCAGATTTGCATCTTGAAACTGACTACAATCAAAACCTATTTTTGTCCCCTAAATGCAGGATATGATAACTGTAACCGGTTGGAACATGTATTCAGTTAAGGGTTGGGTTGTCAGAGGCGAAAAAGACATGAATCAGTAAAGAAACAGTGAAGAACGCACAGCATGGATTCATGGAGACTTTGGATTTAGTGCTGAGTTCATCCGTAATTGAAATGAAAAAACATTGCAGCTGCCTTGACTGAAGTCTTTTGCTGAACGTTGAGGCGGATACACTGGAGCCTGACCTAGGTCAACCCTGCAGAGTGCATCTTGTCTTTCTCTGGCTTAATTCTTACCTTGACGAACAGGGAGATGTCAGGCTGGCTGGGGTCCGCCGGTGCCGCGCTGCTCTCATCTGGAAAGACATGCTCCAGAGTTTTCAGGCTGTAGTCGACAGAGTCCTCCGGCTTGGTGCCAGTGTTAGGGTGGCAGTACGCCATCAACATCCCGTCCTCAATATTATCCTCTTCCTGTATCCTTGGCTGAATCGGCGGGTCATTACATGTGTCTCCTGGGGAGGTGGAGGATGCTGACGAGCTCGATGAGCATCTTGACGCGCCGTGCGCCTCGCCGTTCACCTCGCCGTTCACCTCCTCCACCACAGAGTCCATCGTCACAGCTACTTTGTCCTCTGCAACTTCCTCCAACTTCCCCGAAGCTTTAACTTCATCGTCGTCACTGGATGAAGAGGACGAGCAGCTCTGTCTGTCCATGTCCCTGATGTCCATATAATCCGGCGAGCTGCACTCTGTCTCCACACAGGCATGGACCTGCACCTCGCCACACAGCTGCGCTGGCACCACACCTGCCTCTTGGTCCGGCCTGTCGGCTCCAGCACGGTGCTCTTCATGCACATCTCCCTTATCTGCTGTGTCACAGATGTTGTCCATGTTTGTGGCTGGTTTACTTTTTGGCAGGCCTGGGTTTTAAGGTAGAGTAGAAGCTGAATTGTTACAGTGGTGCACACAGTCCGCCTGCCTCTGCCTGACTGAAACCCTGGGCAAATTCCAGCGATAACGCATAAAAGACCTTTGATCCTTCAAGTTAACAAGTGATTAATGCAAAACTGTGAAGGACTGTGCCTTCAAGGACATTTGGCAGAGCAGGGACATCAGTTAAAGTGTGTCAGCCTAATCTGTAAGTGCAGTGATAGTTTTGTTCAGTCCTAAGAAGTTGAGAAAACGCGAAATGGTAAACAAACATAAATGTGAGTTTAGAAAGGTAACTTTAAAAACCTTTAAGCTTGTCCAACTTTTTTGAGCCCTGTTTATAGTCTCCAAGTCGATATTCCAAGTTTGTTATAACACTAGTTCACATTTGATCAAATTAGTTTGCTTTGTTGCCCAGCTAATTTTTACTTTAAATAATTCATACCCAAAGGACAATACAAAAATGACTGGGTGTGAGGAGAGATATGGATTCTTAACTGGGGGAAAGTTATCTGTTTTCTAACAGAGCAGTTGGGGAGGGTCTGTTTTGTTGGTGTAGAGTTGGGGGGGAGTTTTTAATGAACATACCGTATTACTGAGGGGCTTACTTTAAAAAAAAAGAACAATAAGGTTCATCCCCTACCTGTTTTTCATACTGTCCATAAGTCCTAAGAACCTACAAACTGACATTCTTATATCAGATTTCTTATCTGTATCCCTGAGAAATATAAAAACACAAATGGTGTGGGTTTACAGGATTGGCTAACCGTCTCATACAAACACATGTACACACACACATGCACACAGAAAAAAGAAAAACTACAGTGCATTGAATTTCACACAAGTCCCTTTATTTTCATGTTTTTTTTATGCATCAACATGGCAAAGATAGTTAAAATCTGTAAATCATATTAAATATCCATATGCCAAATCCAAGTTAATAATCAACTGAGATAAACCAGGTCACTTGTTCTTTACTAACAAGTGAACAATTTCAAATGATCTACATATAGTGATTTATTTCATTTCACTGTCAATAAGTCAGGGGATAAATTATCAGGTAACAGCTTTCTTTCATAAAAGGACAATTATCAGAAAATTAATTTCCATATAAATGGTTCAAAATGATTCATGTAAATTTTGTAAAAAGTCTATATCACAGTGGTGTCTGTCTTGTTTTGGGGGCACAGGTATTATAAGTCAGTGCATAAGCAAGCATAAGAACAAAAATGAACCAATTCTTTTTTTAAAGAGTTGAATAATTTACTGGCAGATTTGGATTCTACTTGACTTCCTACAGTCATACTAATTAAAAAGGTTTTGGTTTGAGGCACCCAAGTATTCTTATAATTTCAATAGCAACAATGAGTGAGAAGTGCAAATCATACATGACCTAAAAAGCATTCAACTACTGACCCTTCTATCCTGTAGTGCAAATCAGGGTAACAGTTCTTGCAAGTCATGCCCAAAGAGTCTTCTCAATCAAGCAACAACAACAACAGCAACAACAGCAAAATCCTTAAACTCCCTAAGAAGAAATAGCAATTGCACTTCACATTTCACCAACAAATGGCCATGGTTATGACAGTCAACATACAAACAGGAGAGCAGTCCACAGTAACCTTTAGAGAAAAATGCCCTCACAAACACAAACTCTACAAAAAATAATGTACACACAAGTGACTGCACACCTTAGAAAGATGTTCTCCATTAAGTTAAAAGGCAAATGATAACAGACTACTAAAGAGTAAGGTTGTGATGTGGTGGCTCATGGAATAACCTCCACATATGAGCAGCAGACTGGCACAGTGTGTGAGTATTAAGTGGATCCTCTGCTTCCAGGTAAATAACACTGACCCAGCCAAGCTCCTTAAACTAGCTGAGTTTTGATTCTTTAATCACAGCATTTGTATTTGTATGTCTAATTCAGTGCTCAGACCAACAAGTAGAACAGGTGGAAAAAAAAAATCTGACAAGTCGTTGATCATCCTTTAACTTGATGCAAATCATGCAAATCCGCTTATAGATTTGAAAATGTCAAATGAACCAAAGCTACTGCTGTTCCCATATACACTTATTTGCTGCTTTTAAGCTACCCTTGGAGTGTGGTTGTTTAGAACAGCTATACCTTCAGAGAAACTAATTTGTTTCAAGCATATCTGTCACCTTAAGCTTGATTTATGGTTCTGCATTGATTCTACACAGAGCCTACACAAGTTACATTTCTGGGGAGGTGCACGTCAGATTCAAGGCAGAACCATAAATCAAGCTTTAATATTACCAAGTCACAGTTTTGGCCACCAAAGATTCATACTCTCCAGAATCACAAGTTAAAATTCCACACTTTGAATTCTTACTTACTAAGTGACGATGAACATGATGAGATGGCATTAGGTAAAATTCACTATCAAAGCAAAGCTACAATAAAGCCCATGTAAACGTTTACTATCTTGAGTAAGCCTGCACCAGAAGCAAACCCTAGACATTTCCCTCATGCTCAAGCAAACAAGATGCACCTCTACGTATGATTAGATGGTTATATTCCCTTGACCACCAACTAATAAAAACAGCAGCACAATGGCAATTAGTGGTGCAAGGGAGGCGTTTAGTGGATGCTTCTGGACAGAGCAGACCACCTCAGGGAGAAATATCTCCTCTTCTTTTATGTCTGCCAACCTTTATTTCTTCAGCTACAGGTGCAAGTCCTCTTGCAGTAAGGGCTGTGACATCTCCCTGCTTCTGTGTTTTAGTGAAGGCAGCTGTTTGAGGGTCACTTGTCTGATGTAAACCACCAGAAAGCCTACCACCATCAACACACCGAAGAACGATCCCATGACAGGTGCATATGAGTACTCTTTGACCCTGGGAGGGATGCTGGGTGTGGATGGAGTTGGCTGTTGGGACAGGAGGTCCTTAACGTTTAAGAGGGAGCCATTGTTCGGCAGAGGGTGGATGGCCAGGATGTGGCACATGAGGGGATAAATGTCGACAGAGCGCATGGAGATCTTGACGTAATCCCGGCGAAAGGCCGGCCCACGGGCCACAAACACAGGCTGCATGCTGCGTAAGGTGTTGTCATAGCCATGGTTTCCCACTGGAGAGAAAAACAAACAAAATATTTGCATAAGTAGGTGCAATGAAACACAATGCACTATTAATAGAACAGGTGGAAGCTGCTGCTTGAAAATCTTGAAAAACAATTCACGCTGCCAAAAACCAGAACGCTGTCTTAACACAGCTTTAGCAGGCTGGAAAGCATACACATGAACGGCGCGGTCCTGTTCTGCACAATGGTCCAGCCCTCCTTGGCCTCCAGGATGATGGGCATGATCCTGATATTGTGCCTATAATGGAAGTGCTCGGGAATGTCTTTCTTCTTGTACGCCACCATGTTTGGGTTTGCATCCACCAGCTTACTATACACCTCCTCAAGCTTTCCTGCAGATACACAGATATAAAAATTATATTTCAGGAAAAGTAGCAAATAAGCAGGAAATTCAACATTTCAGAAATTAACCAATATTTATGGTAACAAAAAAATATAAGTGTAAACCACAAATTGTCATTTTACATTTTTTTTCTATAAATTAAGCAAATGACAAACATATTAATTAGTGAGCTTTAGAGTTGCTGGTTGGCAGATTTTGTTATGTTAGGACAGACCCAGGTAAACTGTTTACCTCTCTTTCTAGTGTGCTGTGCTAAGATAACCATCTCCTAGCTGTAGCCTCATATTTATCAAACAGGTATCAACCATTTAGCCCTGGACAAGAAAGAAAATATCCCAAAGCCCTTCCCAAAATGTCAAAGTACTGGTTGTTTAAGTGATACCTTCTTTAGGCAGTATTCCCACCACTGGACTCTTATCCACCCAGGTGTACAAGTCTCTGCTCACGTACTCATCCAGTTCTATGATTTTATCAGAGAAAAGCTGTGTCATCCCGTGGTCACTGGTCACTATCAGGTTCACTGTCTCATACAGCCTGGCTTTCTTGAGCTCGTTAATGAGAAAGCCAAGCTTCTCATCGATATCTACGATGACTGCATCCATGCGAGGACTCTGAGGTCCCAAACTGTGCCCACTCTTATCAGGCTCTTCCCAGTACAGAACTCCAAAATCCACCGCCTCCTCTTTAGGTGCTGAGAGCCACTCAATAATCCGCTCCACCCGAGTTTCAAAGGAAACTGAGGCGTTGTACGGGAGGTACTGAGTGGGGTACAAGCCATGGATCTTCACATCAGACCCCGGCCACATTGCCGCTCCGCTCCTCCCTCCAGCTTTCTGAATGGTCACCCAGAGAGGTACTGCCTCCTCCCACCACCGTGAATCATAAATACTGTCTGTCTCCATGGAGAAGGACCGGTTCAGAGTGGGATCGTACATCTCATTGGCTACAATGCCGTGCGTCTCGGCATACAGTCCCGTCACCAAGCTGTAGTGGTCGGGAAAGGTTTTAGTGATGTAAGCGTTTTCCACCTGCTCCACCGTTACTCCCTCATTCATGAGACTGTGGAAGTTAGGCGTGGGCACCCGGTCAACGTAGTCCCAGCGGAAGCCATCAAAGGACACTAGCAGCAGCTTGGGCCGGTCCGGCACACTGTGGTCCCTGAGCCCATGTTGGTTCAAGCGATGGAGGGAGACCAGAGGCAACAGCAGGGTCCACAGGCAGACCACAGGGCCACAGCCTCCTCGCAACAAGCAGCCCAGCATAGTGTGGTGTGGGATGAGATGACCTACAAAGAGACACAAAAACAGCAAAGGCCTAGCAATTAACTCCTGCTGACTGGAGAATTACAGCGTAGTATATGGACACTCCTGCTCACATAATTTTGTGTAGTTTTGCTCTGGGGCTGTTTTGGTGGTTTGGTCTATGTACCTTACAGGAAACCAGAATGCTACAGCATACAATATTTTAGAGAAGAGGACAACGTGCCTGTGCCTGTGTGTATGCATGATTCTGTTGTCTTTAAAATGTCAGAAAAGAGGGGGAAGGGCCCATTGTTTTTAAATGAAATGTTGGAGGAACTGTTTGTGGTTCTGAGATACTCCATGCTTTAGAAGTTACTATTTAGTTGCTATTTATTTGACTTGTGCTGAAGTGACAGAGGCGAAGTGGATCAGCTGATCAGTTAAACACTTTATCACTTAGTCACCATCAGCTGTCTCCAACTTCTCATATATGCTGTTTATTCCTGTTTTATATCATTCTAGACCGTCTATTGCTTCTAGGCTGCTGGATGAACAAAACAAGCAACTGAAAAAGATGTCACCCTGGGTTCAAATATTAATCAGTCAGACAACAAATCAACAGATTGACTAGTGAAAGTACTGCTTATTTCCTTTAGTGTGGCTATGATGAGTACCATGGTTTAAAGCTGTGTAGTGGTAGCCTACTAAGATAACCTAAATTCCACGCAATACACAATCTTTAGATGTAATACTGACACCTACAAACCAGTTTCACACATAAACGCAGGATCAGGAGAACAATGATGTCACCGTAAATTTGGGACACTGAGAATATAACGACTGCAATGCATCTTTAAAAGAGACTTAATTACAAATGAATTAACAAGTGAACAATCAGACACATTAAAGAGGACCCGTGGTTTTGCACTGCAGTGCCAAGAGCAACACGCAGCTCTGCTTGCAACAATAAGAAAACCACACACGGCAGCATGTCCATATGCAATATGTGAAGCGGTATATATATATATATATATATATTTTAAAAAAAAGCTGTCAGAAAATGCACAAATCCAAAACGCGAAATATTGTGCTGTCAACCCCCTTACCTTGTTATCTGATCCTGCACCGGCTCGGCTTGTGTGGCACACCGAGATAAACAACCGGACTCGTTTATGCTCGAAGGAAGTCCCGCCTATCAACCTTCTGTGTCAGTCGTTTTTATTTACAAGCATTAAACCAAACAGGTCTTATGGAGACGAAATGCTGGTGGGTGTTTCCTGCACATGAATCCTTCGACTCATCCTCTAGATTTCAGTGCGATCGACGAAAGTACAGGTCGCAATGACGTAATGTAGGATGAGGGAAAGGGTGGGCGGAGGGGGGGGGGGTATAATGAAATAGCCCTAGACATCTGGACGTCAGTCAAGTTACAGTCATTAACACTTTGAGTTAAATAAATAAATACGGGAAGTCAATTAGGTATGAATAATGTAACCTATGAATGTGAAGGACGTTACATATAAAGATGAAAAGACAGATGACGTCACGGCTCCTTACTAAAAATAGTACATTTTAAAGATGTTCCCGCTCTTATTCCATCAGTTGTTTTTTTGTTTTGTTTCCATATGTTAATGCTGAAAGTGCAATGCAATAGCCCTCCTGCTAAAATAGTGAAAAAACTATCCACAAGGTGTCAGTGAAGACCTGAGGGATGGCTTTCTTCACATTCATAAAGAAAGATGGCATCTCAGTAAGGTCACTGCATAGTGAGAGCCAGATTATTTCTGACCCTCATACAAGCACTTCCATTTCAGTAGAAAGAAAGATTAGTTTACTGATGTGTAATGCTTGAATGCATCATTTGTATTATCTCATAATAGAGCCTATTCATTTAATGCAATGTCCTGTCACCTTTCTTGGAAGCTTGCATTAATTGAATGACCTTCATTTGGGATTATGACCAAAACCTCCACAACAGCTAATAAATGGACACTGAGGTAGAACTGCTGTTTTCTAATTTGTAAGCCAAAATAGGTGAGTAGTGCTCACAAAATGCAACATCTACTCCACAACAACTGGGTGACTCAGTTTCTTGATGGAAAACTATGTGGTATAACTGGAAGCTCCAGAACAGGAAATAACTCCTACACCTGCATGAGAGAGACTTGTTTAATCCGCTGCTGTTTCCAAGGTCAAGAATGAACTCTGAATCTCAAAATCATTTTGTTTAAATAAACTTTAATTCACACTCTTTATGTGCTGCATATGTGCTGCACTGGGATTTGACAGAAGGATTTGTCCATTATAAAATCAGGTTAGTTTTAAGTTCATGTTTGTTAATAACTCACATTGAATACATACAGACCAGTGGACACATTAAGGGGCAAATTTGAATACATGAGTGGAGAAGCACAAGGGCGGCAGATGTTTTCTTTTAGGCCATGGTGGTTACTGCAAGGTTTGATAATAGATATGATAATAAAATTTGTCCTTTAAATTGGCACCCATCTGTATATATCCGATTGGCACAAAAACTCCAATCACATAAACAATGAATATTCTACACCTTTGATTAACAGACCGATCTTGAGTTTGATTTGTAATTTTAATTTATGATTTTTAGTGCATAAATACAAAACGTTGTTTGCTGTATTTTCTAGTGAGTAGTGTGGACACATTTCAATTGGCAATGGAGCAAGGCCACTATGTGCCTTAAACAGAATAATAACAATCTTAAAATCTGTTCTAAGCCTCAAGAGACATGTCAAGGCCACTGGATGGCAGATATGCTGCATCGATTTTGCAGAATTAATATAAGTTAAGCATCCTCAAACCTAAGACCCCAAAGCAAGCGCTTGATTTGTTATTTCACTGTATTACATTGTCAGCCAACTATAATTTAAAACAGAAATGTATAGTAAGAAACTTTGCCCATGCATATAATTCCCTCAAAGATTTTTGATGATGGTTTTCTGATTATTTCAAAGAAAGTAGGATTATAAATCCTTAAATTTAACAAGTAGCTATAACTGTCTGATAAACGTAATGGAGTAAAAAGTGCAATATTTTCCTCTGAAATAGAAGTATAAAGTAATAATATGCAAGTAAAGTACCTCTAAGTTATAGGTAAGCAGTGGAATAAATATTTGCTTTCCATCACTGAGACAATTTTGCCCTGACGTTTTGTAGTTTCCTGTGTGCGAATTCTCTACTGACGTTGACTTGTGAATTTTTTATTGATACACTGGAAAGCTTTCTGAAATTCCAAACATAGTGTCTAGGGTGCACAGGATCAGACACTTGAAAAATCTAAATCTTAAATCATTAAAAAAGGAAAACATCCAAAAGAAAAATATTATATAGTAGAGTATGTAACAAAAAGGTAGTAACCAGATCAAATGTACAAACTGAACATTAAAGGTGCACCTATCATCAGTTGTGTTACACAACTATTAAAAGATTTTTCAAAAAATGTTTATGGATTCATTTTTACTTTTTGTACCTTTCGTTTCTGTAAGTATGAGATGTAGCCTACAGGTTCCTCATTGTGTTTTCTGTTGCCATTTAGCTGACAGTGTGGATCTGTGTTGGAACAGTGGAGAAGCCATCAAGCTATCGGTTCCTGTGTGTTCTGGGTTGATGTCTAAAACAGCTATACACGTATACATATATGAAGGGGTTTTTGTTTGTTTGTTTGGGCAGAAAAGCTCTTTCTGCTGAGATCTGTAGCTTTGTCTCTCTGTCTATTGTGATGTTACACAAGGATGCTGAGAATGGTTTTGTCGATTTCTTTGTAGAGCTTTAATGGTCATTGTATGTTTAAAATGGTCACGAATATCCTTATACATTGTGGAATATGGTGATAGCCATTGTTTTGTAGAAGGTATTCTGGATGTTCATTGTAGCAACGTTGATACAGTAGAATCACCATACACTCTTGGAAGCAGAGCCTTATTATAAATTGAACAAACAGCAAAACACAATGCTTATCTGGTCATTGTGTTGCCCACATTGTGCCATTGTGTCCATCTTTCTGGTCCTTTGTGTTTTATTTGATATTCTCTGCCTCATCCTACATTACCCAGATCCGCCGAGAGTCGGCCCTGCTGTCATTGGCCTGTCTCCACTTTCCCTCTCAGCCGTCGCCGACTGCTGGGATCTACGCACAAAGGGCGCATAGCCAATCACAGGTAGCCTCGGCTAAGTCTCGGCCAATGTTCTCGACCCTGTTATTTACATAGACACGAGACGAGCCAATCAGGAGTCATCACAGGAGAGGATTTTGACCGCTCTATCCAATGGCTGTGGGAGGTACAGAGTTTTGGGGAGTGCATATAATCAACATATTATCGGAGGTGCTTAGGTATTGATCCTGTATTTCGAGGTAGTTCAAATTCACCTCTCTTGGACCTTTGGGTTTGACCTTAATATTTGCGTGCGTGTTTGAGAATAATTCACGGGGAAAATGCCGAAGAGAAAGGTGAGTTTTGTTTACGCCGCCAGCTCACTTCACTGTAGTTCTTCTGCTCTTGCATTTCAGGAAAATAGCGGTGCGCGATTTTGTGGCGACGTCGAGGCAGGTGAGGTGATGCCAAAGTTTGAGGAAGCGTCTTTTTCTCCTCAGCCTTTCAGATCTATTGACTCGTCTTTCCATGTTTTGGAGACATTTCAGGAGCACCACTGGATCATTTTACACTGTTAATGTGCCAGTGTTCATCTCAATGGCCGTTCTTGCGGTCGTTTTATTTGCCACTTCCCTGTCCACCGTGCGCACTGGTGAATGTCAGACGAATCCGCCGGATGGATGGATGCGTAACGTTAATCCCGTGGGAGACGTGCGCGATGATAATTCTTCTGGCCGCGTTTCACGCATATATGCCACTTATGGATTCTAAAAATAATGTGTAATTTAACCGCAAATAAAACGCTCGACATATCCCTGTCTCATTTCGGTTGCTCTGTGGTGACGAATGGTAGACGCCGCGCCAATTGAACAAACCTATATCCAGATGGAAAGAGGACTAAAGACAGGGGCTCAGGCTTAATTGTCGCTGTGTTAAAAGAGCATTGCACGACGAGCTCCAGTGCATTGTATCGGTGTGTACATGGAAACAGGTTTTCTACGATGTGACAACTGCCATTGTCTGCGCAGATTCGCCTATGAGGACAGAGAATGGGGGCCTCTAGGGGCGGAGGTCGCCCACATGCAAATGATGCGATTGCCAACCTGCAGGCTGAACCAATATATTTTTCATGGTGGGGGTGGACTTTTCTGTGCACCGTCCTCACCTACCTGCAGCGTGAATATAACACCCTCATGGTATAATCATCAAAATGAAAGCTGACCGCCCTCACGGTGCGTCATTAATGGCGTCTAAATGAATCCCTGATTATTTTCCATTATTCTTTAGGGGCCTCATCTCTTGACATGTAAGCAAGATGCCTCCATTAAAATGGAAATCACCAGAGAGCTCCCAGCAGCGTCATATATCTTCATCAGATAATGTGAAAATGCAATTGGTACGTGTATCTCAACGCAATGTCCGAACTTAGATTAACATTTTGTTTTATTTATAACGAAAAAGTACAGGTTCATTGTTTCTATTATTTTGAGCAAATTACAAAATGATACACAAATTCATAAAATGGAAAAAATACATTTTGAATCATGAAATTTAATCCCTTTGAAATTCTGAAAATCCTTTGTATTGCGCACAATTCTATGGAAACCCTGGATATATGGATAAATGATTGTAATAGGCCAGTCTATTGTGTATTAGTTAATAAACCAGGATGCCACCAGAAGCATAAAGAACTTATTTTGTTTAATATTGCTATTATTCTGTGTATTTATTAGGGGTTTTTCACAATTTTGTGTCACACCAACAGCTTATTTTAATCAATTAATGGCATATCGTTCAATTTATTAATTGTTTGGGTTCTAAAAAGTAAAAAAAAAAAAAAAAATCCCAGTACAGTTTCCCATAGTCCAAGCGGATATCTTCACATCACTGTTTTTATTTGACCTACAGTCTAAAACATAAAGATATTCAATTAATTGTTATAAAAGACAAAGAAAACCCGCAAATATTCAAATATAAGAGGCAGAGTCACTGTATTTCTGCCACCTTTGCTCAAAAAAGAAAAACATAAACAATCCTAAATGTTTATCAAAATAGGTGCAAATTTTTATTGATAACTTTTAATCGACTAATAATTTCAGCTGTAGTTAAACCTTTATTATATTATTATTATAAGTTGGATTAAATGTTCAAGAGATGAGGTGTTTATCTAAAGAAAAAGGAAAGAAGAAAAAGTCGGTTTCAAGCTTTGTGAGCATTTTGTTTTATTATTCATTCTGGTTCTCTATATTACTTCAGATATGAGAAGCAACATGTGCACAGAGTAAAAAGTAAAGTAATGAATCAAACTCAGAAAGTTAATAGCATGCTCTCGATGGGTTTACACGTTGGGGGCTGGCTTGTCAGTATGTAACTACACATACCCACCCTGTTAACAGTCTGTTTGTTGTCGTATTAAATACAGTCTCCAGAGGGTACTGAGGGCAAGGAGGCCCCCAAAGTCACAAAACAAGAGGTAAATATTTTGGGTGTGCTTGTGTGCTTTGTTTTTGTTTTGGTACTGCGAGAGCGTGTGAGTGAGTGAGACATCAAGCACATCAGTTCAAGATGAGGCCGCAAAGGTACAACTGATATCTGTCTCTGTCACTCTCTCTCTCTCTCTCGCTGATCAACCCTTGCACCGGTAGCCCACCAGAAGGTCAGAGAGATTGTCAGCGGTAAGCTTCGTTCTTCCTCTCCCTGTCTTCACCTCTGTCACTGTCCTCTCCTTCCTCTCCCCGCCTCAGTCTGTTACCAAGACTCCGAGTAAAGTCCTCGCCCAGTTTATGGATTTGATCAGTGCAATTTGTAAATTCCATAAACATACGCCCTGAGGGTTGAGTCTGGTTTGCTATGCATGTCTTTTCTTTGTTGTCAGTGTCCATTTTCAATGTGGGCTGTTGCAAGACTTTGTTGATAAGTAGGGCTGCAGGAAGTGTGCATATAACACGTTAGTAATCCTTAAAGTTAATGGCCATTGAATATTATTCCAACTCAGTTCTCAACTATAAGTGAAAATATTAACAGTAACCAGAACTATTTTGAAAAACGTCCAGTTTGCACCGAAATGGCTTTGTTCCTTGAATCGTAGTAAAACTAATGATTATGGTCAGGAGCCATGATAATATTATCTAGCAGGCATATCACTAGGTGGTTGTTTTATATGATCCTGCAGCTCTGCTTAAATAGACCGTCTTTTTATCTGTGTGGTACTTTGCATGTTGAACCGATCTGTATAGTATCTTTGCATGTGCTTGTACATTTGCATGTGCACTTGACGGGACAGTTTGACAATATGGGAAAAGTGCTTATTTTCTTTAGTTAGATGAGGAGATCAATGTCACTCTCATGTCTGTACAATAGCTGTTAAGCCTGTGACACACCAAGCTGACGGTCGGCCATCAGCCACTGTCGGTGAGTGTTTGTTGCCCTTTTCTTCGTGGTGTGCCCTGCACCGCTGGCACTAGGCGGACCCTGTCGGTGGCGTTTCACCCCACTCAGCATATTGAATTGGCATCAGGTCTTGTCGGCGAAAGGAACTGCTATGACACTGCTAGTTCTTTGATGTTGGCATGGAGCGTCTCTACCCTAAAGCTACATGCCAGCTATCTAAACCTAGCAGAAAGACTGGAAATGGGGAAGCAGTTGTGTATATCCAAAAGTTAAAAAAGACCTACCAGGACCGCTAAAGCTATCTTCTATCTTTTTTGTCTGTTTTGTGTAAAAATTGACAACTTGCCATTTTATGAGGGTCGTGTGCTTGATGCGTTCTTGGCTGGGTGACCTTTGGAGACAACAGGAAGTCACTGTGCTAGCTGTTTGCTGTTTCCCAGTTTTTTTGCTATGCTAAGCTACGTAACTGTCTGTTGGCTGTAGCTTCATGTTTAACAGACAGACACTTGAGTGGTAAGAAGAATAAAGAGAATAAGCATAGTTCCCAAACAGTCAAAATAGTCCTTTAAGCTTCTGATTTTACACTTTCCAGAAATGCACTATGTTAACATGCTATGCTAGATTTTATTTTGATATTTATTTGACTGCCGTCAGTGGTCAGCTTATTTAATAACATGTTTGTAGCAGTAAACCAGCACTGAGTGCATGATGCATGAAAATAGTCTCTTTTTTCAAATCTTTTCCAAATTCTGATAAGGTGGAGGTCATTTCCTACGTGTTATTACCCTGTAAATGTTAAGCCCACTTCCCCTAATGTAAGAAAAATGAATCTTTCATTTATCATCTCGTGTGGAGTTAATGATTTCTAAAAAAAACAACAAAAACGGATAGTCTAAGAATCATGGCTTCATTTTGTTGCAGCGGTGATACTGTAGTGTGAGGTTTCAGGGTTATATGGTCCACACTCAGCAAAACTCTTGGAAAAACTTCTGCAGCGGCCATACTCACACTGACTAAACCCCATCTGATATAGTCATTGCACCTTGGTCTGAGGTCAGTTCACTTTTAGAGGAGGCAGATATTTAAAACTACTGAGCACAGTAATACTGTCAGATTCCATTGCATGTGACATACAAATACTTCATTGTTTTTAATGTTTACAGTGGGAGTCCATGCAGATGTTCTGATCATCTGTTTGCTCATTATCCTAATGAATTTTCTAAGCAGCTCTTGTGGCTCAAGCATATTCTTTAAAACAATACTAAAATGGCCTGGAAGTGTGAAGAGGAAAGGGGACTACAACTAAACTAATATTTCTCCAAACACTGTGCACCGTGAGCTCGATCAGTCCTAACTGGCATTTGTGTAATCAGCAGAAACCTGCTCCACCCAAGCCTGAGGCCAAGCCCAAGAAGGCCATCGTCAAGGTAAAGCACATATGCAAACACGAGTGCACACATTCATACAACTGCCCCCGCCATCATTTATTTATATCCCCATAAACCTGCAACTGTCTCAGGCACACGGTTGCCTCTCACTACTTGTTTATGTGCATGAGCAAGGCTGCTGGTTGTGGAAAACACACACAGAGAATTTCTCACAGGCAAACTTACTTCACATTTATACCTACAGTATCCAGGGATCATTATTTTCACCTGTATTCATTCACTTGTATCAGAGAGGCCAAGCCTCCACCAAGGCAGCTCAGTTTTCCCATAATGTCCATTCCATCTAAAATAATATCATTAGTAGTTTGAAGGTTATTGGGGGGGAAAAGCAATATCTCACTAATGGCAGTTTTCTTCAGGATGTAGCTCAGTAACTTGAAGATACATCAAATCTGGTGACACTCTAGTGAATCAGCAGAGTTTCAGTTAGAATTTGATCTTAGTTTCAAGTCTGTAGGGCGGCACAGTGGAGCAGCGGATAGTACTGTTGTCTCACAAGCCTGGGCCGACCCGGGGCCTTTCTGTGTGGAGTTTGCATGTTCTCCCTGTGCCTGTGTGGGTTCTCTCCAGCTTCCTCCCACAGTCCAAAGACATGCATCTTAGGTTGACTGGTGACTCTAAATTGCCTGTAATAATATTCTGGATCAACAGATCAGACTTTGGTGTGTTGTAGAGTTTATGCTAATGTCATTGTGCAGTTTTTGTTAAATGCCGGTAAAAACTCTTTGGCAGAGGTTATGTTTGATCACTGATGCACATTCATTCATCCATCCATTTTCTAAACCGCTTAGTCCCAAACGGGGTCATGGGGGGCTGGAGCCAATCCCAGCCAGCTGCGGGCGAAAGGCGGGGTACACCCTGGACAGGTCGCCAGCCCATCACAGTGATGCACATTCACATTTTTGTATTTTTGTTTATTAGGACAGGCAACACTGTTGTTTTGCAGCAGGATACAGAAGAAGATAGACTTAAAATGTTCAAATGTGGTTTGAAAAACTGTTTCAGACGATCTTTTAAATTTTGGGGGGGGGTTTGGTATAAATTGAGTTGATTTGACAAAAAAATCCAAATAGGGGAGCCTCACACCTACTTAATATTATTTGGAAGTCAGAGAGAGAAAACCTATTATGTCTGATAATATCTGCCATCATTAGTATAATGCAGTGAATGTTATTGTCATTTTTTTCCTTGCAGAAGGTGGCAGATGATAAAGGGGCGAAGGGAAAGAAAGGTGGTGCTAAGGGAAAGAAGGAAGATGGTCCTGCCCAGAACGGAGAGACCAAGACCAATGAGGTACATGGGGAAAAAAACAGAAAAGAAATCTCAGAGGAAAATATACACAGCCCGAGAAAGACTATCAAATAATTATTTTTTTCACTTTGTCTCAATTTGTGTATGAACATGAACACACTACACCTATATTCTTTCATATCCCACTGCACAATCACATCTGTTTCTTATCAACAATACACACTTTCCACTTACATGTATGTATGCTGATACGCACACACACACACACACACACACGCACACAGATAGATGTGTCCCGTCCATCTGTCAGTGTGTCCTCCATCAGAAGCACAGCTCCCTCCTTGATATCAGTGAGAGGGCAGAGTGAGACAGTCAGAGTTAAGGGTATGGTTGAGTGTTTCTAATCCATCTGTGGAGTATGTTTTGATACTAACATACATGGGTAAAAATACCTAGTGTGCTTTGAAGTGCTGTGGGGGGGGTGAAAGAGAGACTGTAGTGAGAAGAGGAAGTTGGGATGTCTGGCTTTGTCCTTACTGTGCAGTAAAGTGGGCATACGCAGATTTTTCTTATATGTGAGCAGGAAGATTTGCAGCTGCTCACAGGGTTGTGACGTGATACATTATTGGCTTGCTGTGTTTATACATATCTGGCTCCACCAGCAATCAGGCAGAGGTAACAGATTGGAGATGTTTGGAAAGGTCATGCACAGAGCCCTTGTTGAGAAAATGTTGATTCCTGCTCATATTAGAGTTATGGGTTTCAGTGAGAAGCTTTTCTGAGCTGTTTATTGAAAAAGCCTAGCTGCAGAGGTACAGATATCTCAGTTTTGAATATTACAATTCAAGAGAGTGCACATATGTGCTATGCAAGTGTTTGTCCGTCAACTAAGCCGGTCTTGTGAAAGCATGATTTTAGGCTGTAAAAAATATTCACTGAGGAGCATTGGAGCTGGCAGTTTGATGCTGGTCTCAGTCTCACATTAAAGATTTGGTTCAGTCTAATCACAGACGTATTTCCTAGTGGTATCTGCCCATGCAGCTATGAGTTTTATTTGCTTAGGCTTTGAGATATCCATAACTTTAACGCAAAACATGGATGAATGGAATCTTGCAGCACTCACGTCACTGAAAAATGACACTTGTAAACTCAATGGCAGAATGAGTTTTCAGGAAAAGGGGTCCAGATACCATTAATAATCCACAGACCTCTCTGTGAACAGTTCTCATTGCACTGTTCTCTACCAATGAACTGGTCCCAGGTACAGCTGCTCACACTGTGGTCTGTAGATGATGCAGTTTTTTCAACTTTCAAAGGTGGATATTTGAAAACCTCAGCACAAAATAAATAAATAAAATGAATCTGTTACTCATAAATTATGAAGATTTCCTAATCAAATTTTAAAAAAGAAACTCTTGGTCAACGTGAGCAGCAAGTGGGAAACACTACAGATAAGGCTAGAACCAAGAGGTGGTTGGCTTAGCTTAGCATAAAGACAGGGAACAGTGGGAAACAGGAACTAGATGTTCACAGATGGATTTCGTTTCCTTTGGAGGGAGCCAGGCTCGCCGTTTCACTTCTTTTCCAGTCTTTATGCTACACTAGGCTAACCCCCTCCTGGCTGTAGCCTCTAGTTGTATCATACAGAGAACAAGAAAACAAATACGAGTATTTTCCAAAATGTCAGCCAGTTCCTTGAAGGATTCTTCAGAAATATTATCAACCCACTGCTTTTCTTGAATGTATTCAAAGAATGTCCTTGCAGATTCTCAGTCATCCAGGTCATAGTAAGCTGAAAAAACATGATGAACTGATGAAGCCTTCGACCTAAACGTCTTCGACCTAAAACCAAGTCCATTTGATTTTTTTTTCTACATTTTTTCAGCATATTCAAAGAATATTTAAGGTTAAACTTTAAAACTTTTGCAGAACAGATGGTGTGTTTTCCTGTTCTGGAAACCTGTGGCTTGGTCCAACAGATGTGCCAAGTTATTTGACTGCTTTGTAAAACCCCTAACCATGTCAAATGTGGAACACAAGCTGATGTAAACTCAGTAAACATGCTTCTAGCAGCAGAGCCATCAAGACAAAACCTGTCAAGTGAGTGGCGCATTCATTCAGGTCTTCCATAGCTCGTGTTGATGTTTCAGTGCAGAATGAATGCACTAGCTACACCAACTGGGAACTTTAGTTGACCAAGCCAAGCAAAGGTTGTGTGTGTGTGTGTGTGTGTGTGTGTGTGGCTTGCTTTCCGAGGCTAGTCGATTCCAGTCTGCTCTGGGATCCACCATACTTTAACTCATCCATCTGTATATAACCCTTTTCCTTGTTTCTCCCTTCAGGTAACTGAGGCAGGGGAAGAGGGTACTCAGGAGAAGGCGTAAAGACACTGGCGCATCCACACCGACTTGTCCCTCAGACTCCATGGCAGCAAAGCATCTTTTTTTACTGACAATTTTTGTACCATGCCGAATTTTTTTTAGAATTGTGATAGTAGAGACGGACAACCAGCAGCCCCATCCAATATCTTTACACTCTTTTCAGCTCCCTTCATCTTCAGTATCTAGGGAGCTCCTCCATTCTGTATCGCTATACGTTCTGCCTCTCAGAAGAAAAGAGAGAATCAAGTGGCTTTATTGGACAGCTGCAGATGTTCTTCACACTACAACCACGACTGTTATGATCTCTAAACCAGCTCTACCTATGTCTGTAGTTACTGTTCCCTGTAAAAGAGGATCGTTATAATCTGGCACCTCCCCTGCTGGTTAAAGGTGAATTTGTGGATGTGCGTGACAGCAGTTTGGATGCAGAGCTACAAGAATCCAGGTCCATAGTCACCATGGAGAACATCTGCAGCTTTTTTTAAAAAATCTTAATTTTTAGATCGCCACATTTGTGTTTCACATAGCTCCTTTTTGTGTGTGTGTGTGTGTGTGTGTGTGTGTGTGTGTGTGCATGAGTGGGTGTGTTTGTGGGTCTCTGTGTTTGACTTTGTTCACATCTCCCACCCCCACCTGCACCACCTTTATTCCCCCAGCCGACCTCCTTGCCCTGCAGTAGAGTGACATAGCAATAATGAGTGGTGCTTCTGTTCTAGACAGCTCTATTGGCTTTGGACCCTCTGGGCTTCTTTGAGTTTCATCCTGTTGGGAGACTATTTTGAAATAAAAGAAAAACTTGATGTCACATGGGAGTTTTTCTGTTTCCTCACTCATTGGTGAATAAAACTACTGTGTGTATATCTATGGTGTGCATTATATGTATATTTTCTCTAGGTGGGCAGCAGTGCTGTCTGTGCTGGCTTTTGTAGTTTGGAAAACTCAGGTAACCTATGTGAAGCTGTGAGACTGCAGGTAGTACTGTATGTGTTCTGCTTGTGTGTGAGAGCTCATTTTCAATGTGTTCATGTTTAGAGTTACCTTTAAACCGACACAAAGGCAGTACTGCATGTCTGTGTATATTTGTGCGTGAGGCTGCCGAGGGCTCACAGCTGTGTTAAATACAACTGCTGTGTCAGATAGTGAAAAGTCAGCATTTGCCAGAGTGGTGGGACCTGATGAAAACATCTGAGCTCTTCACTGAGAGGCAAGCCATCACTCACACTCATGGAGCAATGTGGAGTTGTGAAGTGATGATGTCTGAATATCACAGATAGTAGAGAGGCCAATAAAAATGTATTATCAGGAACCTCAGTCAACAGTATACCTCTTGTATGATGTAACAGTAATAGGAAAGTGATGAATAGGCTACAGAAAAATATATAAATTTTTTTTCTTAAGTGAAAAATCCTCCACTATGATAAGCTGACTTTTTTAGCACACACACACACTATACCATTAAAAATTCAAGTTTTGCAGGTAAACAGATTAATATCTGTGTGTGAGAATGTAGACTTTTGTGCAAAAAGAGAATGATAACAGTGAATATCGATGATAAATATGTACACAGACTAATCCATCAGAGCTACAAGGGCAACACAAGAAGGGTTGATAAAAACAAACCTAAAGGTACTTTACAGTATAAGCCTCCTTGATTATAATCTTTCAGTTCTTGTGGCATTTCCGAACCCTTGACACAGAATGGAGTGTGAGGGGAGAGGGGATTCTCATAGTGTTCTCATAGTCTCAAATATAGAACTACAGAATACTGTTTGGTAAAGGGTGTGGATTTGATTGGTCAGTCATAATTGAGCTTGAAGAGTTTCAAAATAATAGAAGAGGCACTTGTCAGAGAAATTACCATCATGTCTGACTGTGCTGGGTAAGACAAGCTGAAAGCTTCCAGTTGACACTGCGTTGGCACTAATAATCAGTGAATTCCTATTTATGCTACAGGAAGAGAAAATGCATTTCTGCTCATTATAGATAACCTTTAACATATCTGTGACCCAATATCAGATGAAAAGTGCAAAATGAAGTTGCCTCCTTGTGGCCATGTCAGTCAGCACAGTAACAACTGCAGGATGAAAGAGCAAATGGAAGCGACTGACCAGGTCTAAAAATTTAAACTTGGCCTTAATCCATGCCACAGTGTTTTCCCTGAGTCATAAAGCCTGTAGAGATTGCAGGGTAAAGTAGGGGTTTCACACATCTGAAGGTGTACTAACCGCTGCAATAAAGAAGGTGAACTTTCACTCTGAAAGTGACCCTATTATTCCTGAGTAGGGTCACAGGGGGCTGGAGCATGTCTATAATAAAAGGTGTTTATTGGTCAACTGTATTTGTAACAACACCACAACCCAAGTCCATGGAGTCACAGATTCAGCATTACATAAAATTAGCTCATGGCACCACTAAACTAATTGCCACACTCTCATTTATACAAATAGAATATCCCTTCCACTTTTGTCCAGAGTAAAGAGTATTCCCATCTATCTAACACTTTTTACAGAATAAATGGTAGGTGATGTAGTAGCTAGGTACTTACAACAGGCCTGTTAGGTAAAGTATATTCTTAACACTGCCAGAATGTATCCATATCTACTAAGTAAAGCATTTAACAATAACAAAAAACAAAAACAAAAATGACTTTCACACATGAACACTGCATAGGATTTGTGAAAAATGTGTGGACTCCAGCCTGTCTGACCCTACTCATTATATGGCTACATGTACATAAGATGTTGAATATTTATTTGATTATTCAAAGCTTCCTGCACTTACAAAAAGTAGAATTTAAATCAACAGAACAGTAAGTGTGTATTGAGTGTGTGTGCATGCAGTTCAAAGGGAGAAAAACTATCATTTGAAAAATTGCATTAAAGATGAGGGTTTTTTTTTCTTCTTTTTAACCAAAATAGATTTTAATAAATAACAGAGGCTGAGAATTAGTCAGTCATCTGTTCAGACCCCAAACTGGTCTGTTTCCTGATGCCTTTGCCAGGGAGACATGCACTAGACGCTTGGTATTTATACCAGTGCCTGCATTTTTTGAAATTATTGTATAACAAAACAAATAAAACAGGAAAAAGTGATAAAAATTCAAGGTAGGGCTGTACCTTGTCAGGTGTTTCAAATACACTGTGGTTGTTTATAACTATGTCACACACATACTTTTAGACTATAGGTCCCCTAGTTTGCTGTATTACCCTCAATAGGGAGAATAGGGAGCCAGACCATAGTTTTTACTTAACAGAATGTGAAAAAATTGTAATAATAAGCAGAATAGTAATTACAGTAACTTCTTGTGCTTACATTTGTTTCTTACTTCAAATAAGAAAAACAGTTCATAAGGTCAGGAAGAGGAGACTGGACTTGTGCTTGAAATTGGTAAACTATTTTTAATAAGTTTATCTCCCTCAAACATTTGATTTGATAATCAAAAATAACACGTTTTGTTCCTTTTTTATTCACAGCACTCTAATGCACTGCAGAGGAAGTGTGCTGTCATATAGCCCATTTACTTAATAAACTTCCCTGATAATGTATCTTGACTGACTGTCTCATTGCCCTTAAATTCCTGTAACTCACGAGGTTTCATTCATTAAGCTGCATTCCCCTTCTTCTCTAACCCTTCCCCCATTTTACTGCCAGGCAGTATCTAGAAGAGAAATGGACGACTTCCCCACCAAACAGCTCCCAGAGAGAGAGAGTGGGTGTGTTACCTAGACATTTTGTTACACAATAACGACAGGGTAAAACGCGAGGCCAACGTGAACACACACACACCACACAATGCTGGTTATATCATTCAATAAATTATAGCTAAAACGATTAGTTCGGATGTAAATCCCCCTCAAGCACAGGAGCCATATTTTACATCCGCATCTAAAAATACAGAAAATATAACGGCGTTTACGTTGTATCAACCCGCCTTTAAGTTAAATGTATTTAATTATAATATTGTAGATGATAAAACGTGATAACTGTTATCGAGCTACGAAGTAGTAACAGCCATTCTACAGCAGCGTATCCTCTCCTACAGCAAACTGCCATTTCTACCTCCCCTCTACAGTGGCGTGCGTAAAACACACTACTGATAACCTTCCGCAGAGAGCTTGCGCTTTTTTCCTTTGAGGGGGAGGGGGATTTAAACAAATGTCTCTTCACAACCAAACAACCACCACTAAAATTCATTACGAGGTGTATTAAACTCAGGGATATCTTGGATGATGATGCTGTGCCTGAGAAAGACAGTGTTTGTATAGTAAACAGCACGGCGCGCACTAATTGTCGCTTGGCGTAGGAATACTCGACGCAGCCGGGACTTTGTCAGAACGGAGCTGAATGGAGGCAGCCTCTTCCTGGTGGATAAACAGTGACAGCTACAGGGCAGCCACCTAGACCCGCCACACAGGCTCTGGCGCTGCCCGGGCAAACAACACCAAAATGGCTTCAGACAGTACACACATCGCGCACTTGACTTCTGGTGAGTAAAGGAGATCGTAAAATATGTCATGGTTGTTTTAATATCCCCCCAGTTTCCTCGGTGCCCTCTTCTAACGCAGCTCCCGTGCTGTTCTTCCCCTCCAACCATACCAGAACTGTACTTCCTAATAGCCCGATTTCTAGAAGCTGGACCGTGTCAAAAAGCAGCCGAGGTTGGTGTTTTTGTATTTTAGGATAATTTATAATATGTCCGAAATTGTCATGGGGAATAATTTTGTATTTTTATCCTATTTTCAGACCCTGATAAGGGAGGTGGAGGAGAAGGAGGTAAGCAGTCAGCAGTACGAAGAGATGCTTCACTCTGCACTGTACTTTGTGATGTTGCCTTTACTCTGATATGTCATTTACTGTTTTAAAACATCACTCGATACATTTATAAACTGGATGACCACACTCGACACTATTTTTCCACCTTAGCTGTTACCCAAAAGGCTGGACTGGACAGGGCAGGAGCACCCCGGGACGTACGAAAATTTGGTAAGGGAGCTCTATAACTGAGGAAAAAGTTTTTAGAGAGCAAAATAAAAATTGAATTTCCCGCAATTTTTAAATCAGGTGGTAAAGAAAAAACTGAAAAGGACTTTGCAGGGGGAGCTGGCTGCAAGCTGGGGGTGCTTTAGGGCACCAAGGGGTCAGGTCCCAGCCCCCAGTGCACCCTTGTGTGCGACTTTGGCACCATGCATGTCCTAAAGGTTTTAATGGTTGTTGTGAAATGTGTGTGAAATGTTGATACGTCATGAGTGTTGTGGTGTAGGAGCGCCAGGATCCGGAGGAGGGACTCCCTGCGCCACTAGAGAGAGATGGAGGCGCTCTAGTCCTGCAAGAAGCATAATTTGTGTGCATGGGTTGAAGACACACAGGGGGTTAAGAGTTAGAAAAGAGGACTTTTTCAGGAGAATATAAACACTATGTTCAGTAAAGCTTGAGTTACAGCTCCCGTTTGAGGGGAGGCTGCTGGCCGGTTGTTGTGGAGTCATTTTGGAGAGCAGTTTTGGGGGATTGTGGTGCAAGCTCGGATAGAAAAGAAGAGGGAGATCAGTTTGTATGAAGATGCGAGGTAACGTCCGGCTGATATCTTCTAATCGCGCTATTAATTGACGTTAATTGTCATGTAAACAAACAGGACTCGCCTGAAAGCGCCGTTTACGCATGGGGGCGTGGAGAGAATTAATCCTCGCTTCTATATTTATTTTTTAGCCACTGTGCTCGACGTGTTTCTTCAAATTTTTTTGCTGTTTTATGTTTTAGTTTAACATTAATACAAAAATAATAACTTATGACCTATTTAATGTACAAAGACCTAAGTTTTTGTGGATTTTCCCTCGCGTATCCACAGAAGCAGACCGACGAACATTGAAGGTCGCATGAAGTGTGGCTCGAACGGGATGCAAATCTTTACGTTTAAGAAATTATTTACTCTTTTTCCGCCTGCCTGTTTTTCTCTCTCTTCCTGCTTGGCTCACTCGGCTCTCCGTTCCTCCTCCTCCTCCCATACCCACTCGTTCAGCCTGCCTCCTGTCTATTGTGCATAATTTCCTCTATTAAAAATACTGCGGACGGGTTTTAATTATTAGACCAAATGGGGTAAAAAGAGCTTTTTAAGGCAGGAGCTGGATCACGGTTGGATTTATCAGCAGTTTGTAGGTTGATGGTACAGAAGATGGTTGGGAGGCAAGGAGGAATCAACGCTGACTTCAGTGATATTGTAGTAATTAACAGTATTAATTGTGTCTTATTAATTAAGGCGGATTAATTAGATGCATGGTTGTTTTCATTTTACGTATATAATTAATCAGTAGTAGAATACCCCTATAAATATGGGCCTATTAGTTAATGAAATAACATGCTTTTGTTATTATAACCTTAAATATATGTATATCACCTTATTAATTTCACATTTTTGCCATTAATAATTAGCACATTTCATCCTGGTGGTGTATTGTAATTACTACAAATCCATGGATAGAGACTAATATTTGAGATGAAATATATTTATAGATGTTTGAAGAGGGTTTTGAGATGTAAGGCTGTAGTTACATGGTACAGAAGGTGCCTTGCAGTCCTGTGTGGAGGACCATGTGCTTTGTGGTGGTGCTGTTGTGACAGGGGGCGTGTTATCCATTACCCTTCAGAAGCAAGTAAAATGGAGCAAATTGTTATTACACTCTATTGGTGTGTATATGTGTGTCTCTGGTGTACCTGAGAGGGGTTAGTGTGCTGATATGTGCATAGAAACACTGATCACGTATCTGAACCGGCAAGGATGTTGGAAGCAATTAAGGGGTCATTAATTCTGTGTGTGTGTGTGTGTGTGTGTGTGTGTGTGTGAGAGAGAGAGAGAGAGAGAGGAATAATTGTTTAATTCCAGGCCTGTTTGACCCTGTTCAGATATTTAAATGAGATGTGTCTGAAACAAAGCTGATTACTGCATGCCTGGTCTAAATCAACACTTTTGAAATAATCCTGAAATAAACACAGTCCAGCATGCTGCCTATTCTTTCTGTTGTGTATCGCTGCTGCTGTTCCAGTCACTGAGGCGTGTGTTTCTTCCGAAGTAGGCCATGCAGGAGTGTCCCTATGTGTCAGTGGAATCAGAGACACACTGTGTTTATACCACAGGGTTGCTAATGTTACATGCCCTAGCCCCACCCCCCACCCCCCGCGGTTGTACCTCACTGATGTAAAAAAAACAACAACCCTAAAACAACAAACTGAAATAAATAGAATTGAATTTAAGTTTTCATTTTATTACAGTTTGATATTTTTTGTGGCAAAAATATGTATTAGTTAATTTTGTGCTTGTCTTGCTTATCATGACTCAGTTTATTTCAGTTGGTGATGATTTAATTTTTAAAAGGGCACATTTCCCATGGAAATTCTGAAGGACTGGGCAAACCTTCAGAATTTAGGATAGTAACATTGTTAGTTTTTTTCTTCTCCTTGTTTTGCTGAACTAAAATAGTTGTTTATGTGCTTAAGAGCATGAACCTAAATGTACTCAAACCAGAAAATTAAGCTTTTTGTCTACAGTCCACTCTTGCTGTTGCTGTTGTGTGATAGATTTTTATATTTGGTATAATACTGTGGTAGCATATTAATCTCTACAGGGGGGATTTTCCTTTCCTTGCCATTTCTGTCAGGGTCACTGCAGTTTGACCAATAGAAACTCCAGAGCTAGCAGACCTGTGCTCCTTGCACAAAGTTCTTTCAGTTTCCCTTTTTTTAATGTACTCCCCTGTGACTGGTGTTTTATTGGTTACCAGTTTGCATACAGACTGAGATAAGTGTGTGTTTGGGTTCAGGTGAAACTCTACCGGCACATCAGCCCAGACCACCTGCTGCAGGTCTGCTCCAGGATTTGTCCGCTGCTGGAGAGGGAGGTCCCTGCCAGCGTGCCTGGACTCACCAGCCTGCTGGGGGCCGGCAGGCAGAATCTCCTCCGCACCAGCAAGAGTGAGCAGGAAGTATAGCACATGTGCACATCAGTTACTTTAATGTACACACACAGCTGTGGTAGATCTGTGCAGGTTTCTGTGGACTAACAAACCTCATGTAAAGACATTCTTTCATGTGTTTAGGCAAATATAAGTGTGCATGTATATAGGATGGCTCACATATAATCATCGCTGTATAATATGCTCTATGTGCACGTGCAGTGGTGGACAGTCACTAAGTACATTTCCTCAAGTACTGTACTTAAGTACAATTTTGAGGTATCTGTACTTGAGTATTTTCATTTTGTGCTACTTTATACTTTGACTTCACTACATTTTAGAAGCAAATATTGTACTTTTTACTCCACTACATTTATTTTCTAACTTTAGTTACTTTTCAGAACCAAATTAATACAAAAATTACAGTATAATCATATAATCACTTTATTGGTCTCTGGTGGGAAATTCACAAGCTACCCGACAGTAATTCAAATTAAATGCATATAAGCTAGTTAAAACTATCTTCCCCTTTACCAGCTGCAACATTAAATGTGATCTACACATCTACAGTAATGCATCAGCAATTCTAATTCAATAATATGATATACATTAATGTGAAGTGGGCCATTCTGCATAATGAGTACTTTTAGTTTTGGTTTTTTAAAGTATGTTTTTATCCTAATAATTTGTACTTTTACTTAAGTAAGGGATCTGAGTACTTCTCCCACCACTGTGCACACATGTCTTTATGCATCTTTTTTGTGTTCCATCTTTTTCCAGGTTGCAATCATGTTGTGTGGAAAGGCTCGGCACTGGCTGCTCTTCACTGTGGACGACCACCGGAGCCACCTGTTATCTATGGAAGCCCACCTAATATCGGTAAAGAAAAAAATAGCCTTGCATTTTTCAAAACAAAAGATAACATTCAGCCATTTTTACCCTTTGTTTGGGGCTTTGAAATCTATGAGTCTGATTTATTATACTGTAGTGCATCATTGCTTTCCAGGGTCTTCTCTTCTAGAGTTTGACATTATTGAATGGTTTCAGGACCACGGTCTAGTTTTGTGCAGGGAATAAACAGAGTTGTTGCCCATTTTTTATTTTTCTTACTGTCCAGTGGAGACGAGCTACGGCCGTCGACTGAACGGTTCCTACCGTCTGCGGCAGTTGGTGCCTACTGCTGTTTACCAGCATATGAAGATGCACAAGAGGATCCTTGGACACCTGTCATCCGTGTACTGCGTCACCTTTGACAGGACTGGACGACGCATCTTCACGGTAAGGCCTCGGTTTCTGTGCATGTCATGGTGTGATACCTCTGTGTGTAATGACGTTTAAGGAGCTTGTTAAGAGGCTCCATTGACAGCGCTGTGCGATATTGTTGGCTGAGTGTTTGTTTGTATGCTGTGTGTGTGTTTGATTGTTACAAGCTGTCTTTTGCTTACCAGGATGACCAAGCATCTGCATTCCCTGTTGTAACAGTCCTGGTTGGAGGTAATTGCTGTTTACCTCACTGTTGTGGGATGCTTTTACTGAATGAGTCACAGCAACAGCTGAATTCAGCCTGCAGGGGAGAAAATTCACACAACTTTATGATAATGATCATGTTTTGAAGAAGGGAACAAGGGATTCCCTTATGTCAAAAGGAAGAAGCTGACCTTTGCCCTTTGGATGCCCCCTGTGTACATCTGCTGTGCTGACTTCCTTTTCCACATGCTTGTGTTAGACAGACAGCGTGGGCAATGTGTTCAGTATTGAACGAACAATGAGATGATGTTGATTTAATGTTGCCGTCCTTCTGTTAGGATCCTTGACTCAAACATTTCCTGCTGCTATTCACCATTTTGAGCTTTCACTAAAAATGGCTGGCTGCTGAGAAGGAGGGAGGGTTACATTGACTCTCTCTGTCTCTCTCTCTCGCTTTCTTTTTCCTCCCCCCTTCTCTTCTGTGCTGCCCCTCCTTTGTTCCTTTCTCTTTCTGCTCTCTTCTCCCCCCTTCTTCTTGCTATTTCTCATCATAACTGGAGAAAATGTTTCCTCTGAGGCGCTGGCTAAGTGCCAGAATTAAAATTCAGTCTTGGTCCTCTCATTTTCTCCCTCCCTCTCTTTTCTCTCTGCTTGTCTCTCTCTCTGTCTCCTTTCATCACAAGATCATTTTTATTTATATATTTTTTATTTTTGGATCTCTTCAGTCTCTTTACTCAGACTTTGCTGCAGTAGCAGGCAGACTGATTGATAACTGATTAATATGTTTAACCTAAACATTCACTGAGATCATGTGAGCATGTACATATAGGTTTGGTTAAACAATTGACTGGCAAACAGCCATATTGATTTGTGCAATATGACTTTAAAAATGGCTGTGAGCTCATTATCATGGCTATTGGGAAGGACAAATTAGACTGTCTGGTATGGATTGTTTATTCCTGTGACAATATCTAACATAATTTCAAATATATAGCAACAAGGAAAGGTTGTTCAAAGTCTTTAGCTTTTCCAAACTTCAGCATTTCAAGGCTGGGCCTCCTTTAGGTTATCAGATTTTGTCTGTCGTACCACAGCTTTAATTTAACCTTGATCTTTTTCTAACTCACCAAGGGATTGTTTTGATAAGGGCACACAAAGTAACAGCTCCAGTCAGACTCTGTTCTACTGGTGATGGAGCAAGTGTTTGTGATTCATTTGATTAATTCAAAACCTATGCAGATGCTAACATGGCCGTACTTTTAAAATGTTTTGCAGATGTCAAAGTATGGATGATTTGACATGTTCTTTAACTAAGTAACTGGATTCCTGTCAGAGCCTTGTTACAAGTGACTGATTTGGATAGAAAGTTAAATTCTGACAGTTAGTCTTTGTAAACTTATGACATTCTTAAGTCTCTCCTTTTTCTTTCCAGCCATTACAAACTGCACAAACTAGGCTTTACTTGTAATAAAAACGTAATTGCATCACACCCAGTTTTAGCAACATGATACAGGTTACCTGTTGGGTTTTTGATTTTAGAAATTATTTTAGATTCTAATCAAGGCACAGAGGGATTGTTTGTTAATGCTTAATAAATATTCTACTATAAAGGCTTTCTGTCTAGAATGGCCTTTTCGTTAGATGTCCATATAGGATGTCTTGTGAGATTTTTGTGAAGCCTCACCCAGTACATATTAATGTTTGTCTGCAGTTTGAGAATAATCTTTGGTTATTTTTTTAGCTGGAGTGACCAAGGGTCAGAGAGCAGGTCAGTCTATTTCACAGTGGTGTGAAAAGTCGCAGCTCTGAATTGTCTGCATAGTCAGTGGGTTTGTTTGGTACATTCAGTATTTGCTTACCTGCACAATGCAAACCCAAAGTGAATAACCAAATAGCCTAAAGGTAGCAGTTTGAGGAAACACTTAAATGGTTGCAGGAGCCTGGTTTCTCTAATTACCCAAATTTACATGAGTTGTTAAAGGATCATTTTAATGTATAGCTATTCTTTAGTTTGGCCAGTAGGAAACGTTACAAAATAAGAGAACAACATTTGTCAGTACTTACTGTGGTGTAAGTATTGATGTTGGATTTATGTAGTTAATATATTTAATTACGTTTCTCACCACTGACAGCTGAACTGATGTCTGTGTATTGAAATGCAGCTTTACGTCCTACAGGTGCATGTACTAAACTGTCTAAGACATATTCATGCCAACGCAGCAATCTGCTTGTCATCTAGGCAATGCTTACTTTTATTTTGTCCTTAACCTAAGATAATCTAGTAAAAGGTGATTACATGGACGTTGCTGTTTTAATCCTGTTCTTCCCAGGTCATAATCAAATTATTAGCATACATGTAAATGCACTAACAATCTAGTGACTTGTTACATTTTGTCCAGTGTAAGATTATCGATTTCTGTTTTTGCGTGTAGTCTCTCATTCCCTCTTCTGTTTGTGATCCGAGTTTGCCAGTCTGCCGACAGTCTCACTAGGGGCATGCCTCAGAAGCAGACACGCTGGTTCTCAAACAATCTGAAATGCTAGTCTGCAGTCAGGTCTGATAGCCTTGTTAAAGGTGTTCTCTTTTTTTTGCCAGGGCTCAGACGATTGCCTTGTGAAGATCTGGGGGACAGATGACGGGCGTCTGCTGGCAACACTACGTGGCCATGCTGCCGAGATATCTGACATGGCTGTGAGCTATGAGAACACAATGATTGCTGCCGGTTCCTGTGACAAGACTATTAGAGTGTGGTGCTTACAGACCTGTGCCCCTTTGGCTGTCCTGGAAGGACATGCAGCCTCTATCACATCACTACAGGTACCAGGACTGGTCGGGGTGGGGGACAGTTTAAGTATCCCTTGTTAGACTAAAGTTGCAGCCTGGTTGATGTTTCTGTGTATATTTTGCTTGTTGGTTTATGTTATGCCACTAAATATGATGTATTCTGTGTAGAATGGTGGGAGATGAAAATAATATTTTGTTTATGACAAACTGTTGACCACTGCATTTGATTGTAGGTTTTACTTATTAACGTCAAAAACTTGGGGGCAATTGATGACATGACTGGCTGATATCCAGTTGTTGGGGGCTAATTTCACCTGTGTATTAATACACACTTGTAGGATTTATACAGTGAAATGTTTGGCTAGCCTCTATATTAACTCATATACAGTATGTGTATAATTGTCTGTTATAGATGTGTGTACATGTGACTATGTGTTCTAAGCTTGGATTTTAGTTTTGCACCTCTCCCCTACACTGTGGTGGATGTGGGTTAATCACCCAATATTTTTGCTATACTATTAGGAACATCATTTGATTGTTCATAATATGCAGCTGTAACCTCTAATTTGTTGTGTTTGCAGTTTTCTCCTCTTTGTAGTGGGTCCAAGCGTTACCTGTCCTCCACCGGAGCTGACGGCACCATCTGCTTCTGGCAATGGGATGCCCGCACGCTCAAGTTTGGGTGAGAAACACACACACACAGTTCACAAAGTGTCACCTGCACAAGAGCTGTTCCCAACCTTTGAAAGTAAATATTTGTCACACAGTTTAGTAAAAATGTTGTTTCCTTGTCACAGTTCTATCATAGCTTTTGGGGGAGTTATTATCTTGACTATATGTGAAGCACATTGTTTTGGGTAGTACTGATTAAAAACTATCAGAATCACAATCAGCTTTATTAACCAGGTGTGTTGAACACACGAGGAATTTGACTCTGGTACAGCAGCTCTCAATGTGTACGTACATATCCTTATGTAAGGCAGAAATGGGCAAGTAAACAGTATAAGGCTGAGAGAACAGAAAGGAAAGAAAGCAATATGCAAACAAGCAAGAGGAATGTGCATTAGGAAATAAGTTAAAATAAAAATAAGGAACTTAGAGACCTGTATGTTCACACAGTCTAGGTGCATCTATATGTACAAAGAATATTTACAATTATTGCACTGAGGGTTATTGACCAGTCATACTGTCGGGGTTAAGTGTTAATCAGAGTGATGGCCTGGGGCCTTGTGTCTGGTTGTCTTGGCACACAGTGACCTGTAGTGCCGTCCAGAGGGGAGGAGTTCAAACTGAACTACACGTTCTTTATACAATGACTTTTACTGTTTGTACTGCATGTACTGAACATGCCAAGTAATACAATGTGTAAAGGGATCTAAATTCAGCCAACTTGCCCACCTGTAAGATGTACTCTTTTTAAAACATACACACCAGTAAATGCTAATTCAGTGTGCGTCACTGTCTGTTTCTGATTTTGTCTGTGTATTCAGTCAGAGGCCCAGTAAGTTCACAGAGCGCTCCAGACCTGGCGTCCAGATGATCTGCTCCTCCTTCAGCGCAGGTGAACAAAGCTTGCTTTGGTTTTCACACACCACCAGTGGGAAAGCAGGGCTGTGCACAATTATCGCAGATTAACTGAAGAGCCAGCACAGCAGACAGCCACACTCAAGTGGGCCTAGTCAGGAAATACGGAATAAGTGCGCTTCACAGTTATTGATAATGTATTTCTGTTTTGAGATGTAATTGACTATCAACATTTGATAAAATGGCTTGAAAGTTTGCACATAAAATTGCAAAAAATTTGTGCTCACCACAGTTCAAGTGTAATTTAACTTTTTTATATTAGAGTAGTTATTTTAAAGATTAAATTACTGGAATATATGGATTTTGTGAGGATACAGAAATGATTAAAGAAAGGATTTTTAAAGGAATTGCAAATGAATGCCTGTGTGCAATAGCCAAATAAGCAGTATTCTCATTCTGTATGTGTCTAGGTGGTATGTTCCTGGCCACAGGAAGCACTGATCACATCATCAGGGTGTACTACTTTGGTTTAGGCCAGCCAGAGAAGATTTCGGAACTTGAGTCTCATACAGTGAGTCAGCAAACTGCTGGAAACACAAAGTCCACTTGTTTGCTTTTTACTGAAGCTTTCAGTTGCATCTCATTGTCTTCCTCAGAAGATGGAGTTTAATCAGTTGTCATGGAGATGCCCAGAGTTGTTTTCATTCTCCATGACAACTGAGAAACCTCTGTCCGCTGAAGAAGATTTGGAAGATGCAGTTGAAAGTGTTGGAAAAAGCTTGTAAGTTGATTTTGGCGTAATTTTTTGTTGATTTGTTGGTAAGACATAATAGAATTGTTGGGCGGGCAGAGGAAATACTTGTTTTGACTGTTTTCCTATATTTTCTCACCTAGGACAAAGTTGACAGCATCCAGTTTTCACACTGCAGTGACAGGTATGTCTGTGTGTGTGTGTGTGTGTGTGTGTGTGTGTGTGTGTGTGTGTGTGAACTACATAGTTGGTGTAGTTAATTTCTGTGTGCGTTGCTGTTTATTTTAATGGAACCTCAGGGTGTTGTAATGCGACTTGATGGTGTCAGCAGAAACAGCACCGTTACTTACTATTTGATACATGCTCTAATACGCATCCTCTCACACACATACGGCTGAACATATCATGCACTTGCTGAGTGTAAAATTCTGTGCGCCTGTGTGGAGTTAGCAGAAAAACAAGCTCAAATGTAACTCCCCTGGGTCGCTGTAAGCTCAGCAGTGAAGGAGGTAGACTGTCTGTGCAAAGGGGTGGGAGTGGAAGAGATGGAGAAGGGGGGGGGTTGCATGCAATTAGTGTATACTGATGTGTGCAGATGAAAGCCACTGTTGTACTGCTGAAATAGAAGCAAGTGTTAAATTTAAAGCTTAGGTGCTGCATGTGTATGTGTTCTAATTTCTATGTGTATGCGTTGTAGGTTTGTGAGTGGCAGCAGGGATGGTACAGCACGAATCTGGCAGCTGCAGCCTCAGGGCTGGAGGAGCATTCTGCTGGACATGCAGACCAAATTACCCGGGTATGTGTGTGTATGGCTGTCAGTCTGGTTTTCAGCCAGTGCTGTTGTGCTTAGTGCTCAGAGCCGTGGGCTGGGATGATCCTGCGGGCTGTCATGTCATGTCAGTCTAAATGTAAAAAAAAAAAAAATCAATCATATTGTATACAAAAATCCCAAATGTTTAGAATAGGAGGAATTCCTACTGAAAGCTACCATATGCTTTGTTTGAACTCAGACATTTAATTATAAATAGTTAGATGAGACCGAATCCCTTTGTATCAGCAGCAAATTATTTTCTTTTGATTATTTACATGTACATTTATGTATGCAGAGCTGTACGAGGTGCTTCATAATGTACAGTGTATAAATAATTAAGGAAAAGAAAACCTAGAACATTCACACTAGTATAAAATGGGACACAGTGACTGATTACCCAACTTCTCCCAGACAGAATATAGATTTGCTATGGCTATCACAATCAATGGCAGATTGTAAAATAATCTGATTATCTTTAGAAATCTGTAATTTGTTTTTCTAATAAATGCCCTCAAGCATATTATTAACGGTTAACAGTAAAAAGAAAGTCGCAACAAACTGGGGAAGATGTAAATGGGCTTAAGCCTTCAGAATATAAATAAACTGATACTGCTGTCTGAACAGTGTTCCTGCTGCTCTGGAAGTCTGGAAAAGTGCACAAATCTAAGTCAGGAAATCACACAAGACAGTGTTGAAATGTTTTGGTGGTGCTGATTTCCACAGTTTATACATGTAAACAGTAACAGCTGGGGTTGTGAATAATTATCTTAATCTGTAGAAAGATATGGTCTAGCTGTCAGATTGGCTAGCTCCTCAGTAATGAGGAGCTAGCCAACAGAAAAAATGAGGATAATGGATTCAGTTTATCACCAGGAATGCACAGATTCATCTCTTTGGACAGTCATTTAGAAAGAGGATGCTCCTCATATTTCATTCCATTTTAACCATTTTATAGTAAGATTTCTATTTTTACTTGTTAGGTTTGGATGTAAATTAAACAAAGATGACATTAATTAGTCTAACCATCATCCCTTCAGGAAGTACAACCCTCCTCCGCTGGAAGACAAGGTGACCAAGCTGAAGGTTACCATGGTAGCATGGGACCGCCATGACAGCACAGTGATCACAGCTGCCAACAATCTGACACTGAAGGTGTGGAACTCCACCACCGGAAACCTCGTCCATGTCCTGATGGTATGTAGTGATTATTCACACATTAACACAGTGGGCACAATCATGTAAAACCCTTATGGTTTGGTGGCTGAGGCTGAAATCTTGGATGTCACTGTGTACTTGAAGAAAGACTAATACAAGTGACACAACGTTAATGGCCTAAGACTTGTAAAATTACAGGTATGGTTCTTGAAGAAATATTTTTTTTCCTGAGAATCTTAATCTAAATATTCATGTTGTTTTACGACAGGGTCATGAGGATGAGGTGTTTGTTCTCGAGCCACACCCCTTTGACCCAAGAATCCTTTTCTCAGCGGGGCATGATGGGAATTGCATTGTGTGGGACCTGGCCAGAGGAGTCAAGATCCGCTCCTATTTCAACATGGTGAGGCTCAGGACCATCCCGTGCTCCTCTGTGTCTTTCTCTCACTGACTCTCAGTCACTTTCTTTCGACATTCACACTGAAACTACAAGTGTCCAAATCCTGATACTTCATGTCTTATTATGCAGTGAATTAGCAAAAAAAAAGACGAATTAGCAATTTTTTCGGGGGGACTGCATGGATATGTGGTTTTCATTAGAAATATTCTTCTAGTATTTTTGTTATTTTTCACCACACATTCTTTCCCTTTCCCAGTGTCACTTCTTGCACTTTCCTTCCTTTACTGCTTTCACTTTCTGTCTTGCTTGCCTCACCTCTATACCTTCGTTTTCTTTGTCATTAAATGCATTGTGTGTGGCCTTTGGCGTGGATCTAGAGTACAAATCACAACAGCAGGCTTGTGCATATACGTAGCTGTACATGCTCATCTAGCTTGTATCCACTGTTGTACTTCCTGCTTGTTGCTCTCTGGTTACCAATGACAACATTAGCAGTCTTACCATCTCAGAACAAGTGAGTCACTCAGTGAGCTAGTCAGTAGACCAGTGACAGCGGATAGTGTTGTTTAATCACACAAAATGTGTGCCCATGTGAAAAGGCCCAGATTTCACTTTGAAATGTGCTGAATAGTGGCCCCCATGGAGCCAAATGAATACTAAAGCATAATGCACAAGAAGAAAGGAGTCATAAAAGTCATAGAACTGACTTTAGTAATGCCTGTTCCACAGCTACATTTTTTGTATGTTTGCAAACATTTGCTGACATTTCGCTCAGTAACCTGGGGGAGGGGGGGGGTTCTGCCTTGTCTGTTAACGCCATGATTTAATCATTTCTAGTCCGCCAGACTGCTGACAACAGACATGCCTTTCCTGCATACTGTATATTTAACTAGAAGTTCAGTGCTCAAGGTTCATATAAGAGAGACTGTGTGCTATGTGAGTTTAATGCCTTGGCAGAAGAAGAGTCCTTTTTTACTGAATTAGGGACAAAGGGCAAAGAGGCACAAAGAAATTCCAAAGAAATGTTTTCATCTTGTGTTTGAATGGAGCTATTGTGTGATACGGGTTAAAAACCCTAACAGAATAAACTAAAAGCAACAGTCAGTGCAGTTTCTGCAGGTGGTGCTGTGTCTGTTAGTGTGTATCACTCCTCTCACTGTCTATCAAACTCTGTTTTACTGTTGCAGCCATGGTTTTACCTGAAGAAAAAATTGCTTTAATGAAGTGGCTGTTTGCGGGATCATAAAAGTGTTAATTTGATTTATTATTTAAGGAAAAATTGTAGATCAATAGTTAAGTGTCATTCATGTGGCCTGTTGAACAGAGCATTTGATCTGCATTAACTTTATCCATACCATACAACTGCTGCAGCTGCCTTGAATTCCTCCAGGTAGCACAATACCATAGTTTACCATGTGCACTTATTTCCATATCTCCGTCTCTTTCTGTGGATAGATCGAGGGCCAAGGGCATGGAGCGTTATTTGACTGCAAATGTAGTCCAGATGGACAGCATTTTGCAGCTACAGACTCCCATGGACACCTGCTCATCTTTGGCTTTGGCTCTAACAGCAAATACGACAAGGTAAAGCAACAGGATCACTTTTATTGTTTGCACACAAAGCAATGCCTGACATTTAACAACATCTCATGTAATTGAATGTTATCAGTAATAACAAATGCCTGTCATTTCGCTCCCTCAGATCTGATCAAACCACAATGATGTCTTAGCTTTTAGTGCAACTCTTTTTTTCCACCTCTGCTTCAGATAGCGGACCAGATGTTCTTTCATACTGACTACCGGCCACTTATCCGGGATGCTAACAATTATGTGCTGGATGAGCAAACGCAACAGGCACCACACCTGATGCCCCCACCCTTCCTGGTGGATGTGGATGGAAACCCCCACCCTCCTAGATACCAGCGGCTGGTTCCTGGCAGGCAGGGCTGCAGAGATGAGCAGCTGATCCCACAGATGGGGGTCACGTCATCAGGTACACGGGCTGAAATGAACCTCTTCATTGTGATCTGGGGTCATGAAGTCTGTGGTAGTTGAATTCAGCTCTTGTCTGCTTGTACGCTCTGATCTTTTCCTGGAGGGCTCATCAGAACCCATCCATCAGCTGATCAGAGACACTTTTGTCAAGTTGATCAACCCATTACTTGAGACAAATGCTCTCAGCCTTCACATGTGTTTAACAGGCTTTCAAGGAAATTTCACTAATATTGGCAATTAAAACCAGAATGAAGCAGTTTAAGATGTTGGCAGGGTGTTCTTTATAAATATAAGGCCTGTTGAATTTCAACTTTATTTCATTTAATCAGAATCTTTCTCTTTTGCTTTTTAAATCTCTTTCTCTTGCTCCATTCCTTTCTGTGTCAGGCCTGAACCAAGTTGTGAGTGAGCAGGCAGTGGACGGTCCCAGTCCTCTGGATACTATGATCATGAGGCTGCAGCAGGAACAGGACCAAAGACTGGGAACAAATGATGCTGCTGCAAACTCCAGGGCCAGTAGAGGTAGGACCAAGGAAGGTCAACTCGCTGTAGTATGGGCAGCTTTGCAGTGTGGGTAGTATTTCAGTGTGGTTCACAGGCTATTAGGTGGTTGTGCTTGGAAGACATATTGGAGACATATTGAAAGAATGAATGAATATATGATGTCAGTTCAGTTTTTTTGAAGTGACTTAAATATACTCACTGTTTAAACACGGTGGAACTTGTATGTTGCTAAACTCTATTTACTGTCTATTTGAAGCAGGTTAAAACAAGCTGGGAATTATTTGCAGATACTGTTTTAGGCCAGCTATGATGAATGTGTGTAATTAACTGTGTGAAAATTCCACAATACGTTTGTAATAACTGCTTATTTATCACTGTCACAATAATTACTTTCTAACCTTTAGTTTGTAATAATTTTGTTGTGGAACAAAAAAGATTTTTCATTTATGCAACATACATAATAACCAGTTACTCAAAATAAGCATTTTGGGCAACTGAGTGAGAATTACTCAAGAAACAGTTCAATAAAACATCCGCATCTCAGAGACTTGATAAATATAAAGAAGTGATTCTGTCTGACACATGAGTGTTGGGGAGATACATGCTCTTCAGTCAGCTAATCATTTACTAAAGAAAGCATACAGTTGATCAAAGTCACCCATGTGTCTGCAGTAACACAATCATGAGTGTCTTTGTTGTGTGCTTCGTAGATTCCATTAGGTTTTACAGCACGCTGATCAAATTACCTCAATAAGTGACTCTCCCTGTTAATTAGAATCATGGCTTCATTGCTTTCATTTGCCTTTTTTTTGTATCTCTCACTTTTGTATTGATACAATTAGTCAATTAAGTGATCAGAAAAAAAATTATTGGTAGCTCTTTTGTGAAATTCCTAATGGTTCTAATCTTTTTTTCAAGTAAAAATACCAAATATTCACTGGTTTCAGTTTTTCAGATGTGATGATTTGCTTCTTTTATTTGTTTTATTTGCAGTGTTGGGGAAATTACTTCACACTGGAAGAAGTTAAACTACAGCAAAGCTACTCTAGAGAGAAACGCCGTTTAGTAAATTAAAGTTACTTAGAAAAAAGCAGTTCTAACTACTTTGTAAATAAGTGATCAAACTGACAAAGTACGTGATACAAAACTATAACATAGTAAAAAAAACTTACATGCCAGCAAAAATGTCACTCAGTTGAGTTTATAAAGCAATCCTATCTGAGCTTTTCATAATGATATAATGTTTTTCTTGTTAACAAATTTGGATTTTGCATATACACACTGGTTTCTTGTGTTACTTGTCAGTTTTGCAACAGCTGACTTGTGCAAACTTTACCAAAACAGTCTTGAACCTTATAGAGTGTAAATTTAGACAACATGAAGAGCTTGAACACTGGTCTAAATGGGTCCATCTTTTACTACTTCTCAGAGCAGAATCTTTTGTTTATATGACACATGAGGAGTCTCAGTGTTCTTATCCAAAAGGTAGTTTGGTGTTAGAGAAGCAAATGAAAAATGATTCCTTTCCTTTCATGGCTCAAAATGATTTGTAGTTGCAGTAGTTGAATACACAAAAAATGGCAAAAATGTCATTTAACTACTTCAGTCATTACACAAATATGAATGTAGTTTTACTACCAGCAAGCTAATGCAAAAGGCAGATAAACTACTAGTTTAGTGACATGTAGTTCGCTACTCCCCAGCACGGCTTATGGGGTAGTTAATTAAATGTCTTTGGGTTTTCAACTGTTAGTCTGACAAAACAAGAAATCTGAAGACATTTTAACTAGTTCTTATGGACTTTAAAATGATTAATCATTAATTAAAAATAATTGTTAGTTGCATTCATGGACTACACTACTGTTATGGTAGCCCCCCTCACTAGGAGGGTGAGGGAGGACTGAGGTTGGACTCAAGTGTGCAGACCCAGGTACTAGGGGGAAAAACATGACGGTAGCAGGTAAATAAAGTGAACACAAAGTATCAAAAGAACATAACATGGGAAGGTACGGTACTTGGATATGTATGATATGTAGTGTAGTGTAAATTAGTGTAGCTTGTAGGTAGAGTCAAGCCAAAACGCACAGTGTCTGTCAGCGTAGCATTCTACCAACATGTACATTCTGCGTTACTATGTTAATGTTCCGGCCAAGACGGAGCGTCTGCCAGAGGTTTATATAAGGAGGCGAAGGTAATCATCGGGATGCACCCCAGCTGTGTGCATCGACTACAACTCACAGAGCCCAAAGTGCTGCACAGATATAAGGATAACTATACACTAAAACAATACTAAAACAGAGAAAATGCTACTAAACAATACCCTACTGTCTTTCTCTTTGACATCTCAGGCTCGGTGGGTTCGCCCACAGAGGTGCATTCCCCACCCAACGTGGGCCTGCGTCGCAGCGGGCAGATCGAGGGTGTGCGGCAGATGCACAGCAACGCCCCACGCAGCCAGATGGCCACAGAGCGAGACCTGGTGGCCTGGAGCCGCAGGGTGCTGGTCCCTGAGCTGGAGGATGCCTCTGTCAGGTATAACACGCTCACAGTTACATATAATGTTTGCATTAGCAATTTTAGACTTAAGAGGTTAGAATGTCAAAGCCGCAAAGTTTATTACTTTGTTTTGGAAATGATAGCTTTAATGCACAATATGATCTGTGTGTGTGTTTATTGTGCAGGAGACAGGTGAACTGGCGAGAGGCTAAAGGGGAGGAGGAGATCAATATTTATCAGTCAGAGAGGAGGAGACGAACCATCCACTCTCTGCCCAAGGAGAGCAGGGTTAGCACACACACACACACACACACACACACACACTCAGACATGATTGTTTTACAATACTTTCCATGTGAACGTAATGATTTTCGTCCTCTAAATATACTTATATTGATGACCTAACAGCTCTTAAACAGAGAACTTCACTGTAATTCTGATGAAGTTCTACTGTTTTGCATTTCTATTTCCTGCCTCTGGTCCCTGATTCTTATTCTGGGAGCAGCTGTAATATCATCTTCTGTCCTTCACATTAATCACTGTATTCTTTGTTGTTGCAGGTTCATCCAACATCAGAATGTGTAGTTGACGAAGGGAGGAGGAGCCAGGGTAATCACGGCTATCACACTCGTGCTGCTATGGAGGAGACGAGTCACCAGAGTGCTGAGGCTGCAGATGATGATGAAAGCAACTCAGAGGTACTGTTACAGTACTACTGCTGCCTTGTGTTGGATTTCATTTTATATATCATGGAGAAGCCATGTGGTAAATCCTTCTTGAAACTCATCTAAAACATAGATGACTTTGCCCTCAAAAACAGACCTACGATAGCTTTTGTTGAACCTCCCCTTTAGCCTCTTGCTAGTCTTGAAGTTCTATTCCAACAGTTTTCATTCAGATGGTAAAATCTTTTGGTCATATTTTTTTGGAACTTGAGAAATGTCATATTTCTAATTTGTGCTTATCTCATTTGTCATAACTTGTTTTGTTACTCCAATTTCAGTCCAGCTGATGTGATGAAGACTTCAGACTTTATTAGCATATTGACCTTTTACTGCCCACTGGTTTGCCCTTAGGGCTTAAGCACTATGTAGAACAGTTATGGACTGTTAGTCTCCTATATTTCATTTTCCAAGAGAGGACAGCCATAAAAATAATCCAGGCACAACGCATGGAAGAGGATGCAGCAAAAAAACCTAAAATATAGTGTGTTCCAGTGTTATCTCTTTGAATTGCCTTTGTGTATGAGTATGTGCTATATAAATAAACTTGCATTGCCTTGTTTTTATCCATAGCAGAAGTCTAGTTAGCTGATACAAGCACACCAAACACAAATGTGACTGTGATAACTAAACTTTTGTTTTTATTATACAGTGCCTTTCTAACGCCTTTCCTTTTCATTGATTCTGTTTGTTTTTTTGTTCGTCTTTATGCCCATTAGAGTGCTAACATAAAATGGTGCTTGTTCCAGGGAGAGGTGGAGGTACGGCAAATCAATGGACACTCGTCAGAAGAGGAGAAGGATGAGGAAGAAAAAGAGCCCTGGCCAGATGACCACAGTAGTTCAAGGTGGGACATGTATTAACTATACAGGGTTCCTACAGACCCTTAAAAAATTTTACATTTGATTTTTAAAATTTAAGGTAATAGAACGTCTTAAAAAGTCTTAAAGTTTTACTTATAAGAGGTTTTACATTTTTTCTGTTTAGGCCTTGAAAAGTCTTAAACTGGATTTTAAAAAATGTGCTGCAACCCTGCTATAGTATATATACAAGTCAACACAAAAACACACGCAGTTGATCTTGTCTCTGTTATGTATTTGCAGTGACTACTCCAGTGATTACTCTGATTGGACAGCGGATGCGGGGATCAACCTTGAACCACCCAAGAAGAGTGTTAAAGTGAAAAAGAAGAGCAGCAGCTCTGAGGAGGATGGAGAAAAGAAGAGGGACGGGAAGAAAGAAAGAAAGAAAGACAAACCGGACAAAGACGGCGCATTACCAAAGAAGAAGAAGCCAAAGGAGAAGAGGAAGGTTTGTCATTAGTTATGACCAAAATTCTGTTTTCTTCCTTGTAGCTACAGGAAAAATTACAAGTGCAGTAATGATATGATACAAAGGTATTACCTATCGGCCATTTGCACAGATTTTCGAAGACTTATTTCTTATTTTTTGTGATGTAAATGAAATCTTTCAAAGACTTTAGAAAGGTGATCTTACAAAAGCTGCAAGAGGAGTAGTGCGTTCATACTTTGATTGACAGCTGTGCGCTCCCTCCCCTGACTTTAGCCTTCTCTCATTGGTTAAAAGGGCAGAGCTTTCTAAAAACCTCAGAAGGGAATATAATTACAACATTGCCAGACATTGAGACATTGAAAGCACCTCTCCAGATTAAGATATCATTTGAACTGTATTTCAACTAAACAATATATTAGAAAAGAAATGTCATACTGTGCCTTAAAGTTCATTTAGGGATGCACAATAAACGAGATCAGGAATGTGTTGCATCACGTGACGAGTTGTAGACCGGAAGACAAGACTGATTCAAAAACAGATCCAACATATTTGACATTGTGTAAGATATTCTGTGCCCCCCTGCAACTATTTTTCAAATGTTGTGCTGCTTGCACTGTACACCTAGTGCCGAATAGCAGTTGAGATGGAAATTAATCACTTTACGTTTACTAGTTGTGGTTATTAGTTAACACATCTTAGCAAGGAAAATGGATTACTTTGTTTGATGTAAGGGATCTCACTGCTAATGGAAACACAGCGGAATCATTGTCACATGAGACTGTGATCGCACAATTAACAACTTGCAAACTAACTACTAAGTATAGGCCCTTCTAAATATGCAAGATTGTTCACATTTGGAAAAGAGAAGAAAAAGTTATGTATGCAAAAATCTAAATTCTTGAAACAACTGTAAGCGTTTATGTGTTTTGTTGTGTTGGCTCTCAGAGGACTGAGTTTCAGGAGGAAGGGCTAACTCTGGAAGAATGGCTTCCCTCTGCCTGGATTACAGACACGGTCCCCCGGAGATGTCCCTACATACCCCAGATGGGAGATGAGGTACACGCCCCCCTGTTTATGTTACAGTGTCCTCACCACATGTGCACCACGTGTCTGTGCATACCAAAACACAGGCTCATGTTTTACATAGCAGCAAGACTGGACAACAAGTCTGCAGCCATACTAGTGACCCCTTGAGGCTGTAATGCTCATTCCATCCTTGACAACAGTAAAATAAACTTAAAATAGCTTTGTACTGTGTTGTGTATATATATCTAGGGTCAAGAATTGAATCAGAAAAATGTACAAGATGCAGTTAAAATTGCCACGTTTGGTTTTATATTTGAAATGTGTGTAAAAGTGTATGTGTATGTGTTCAGGTATACTACTTCAGACAGGGCCATGAAGCCTACGTGGAGATGGCCAAACAGAAAAAGATTTACAGCATCAATCCTAAGAAGCAGCCGTGGCACAAGATGGAGCTTCGGGTAAGGAACGGTGTGAGAAAGATGGATTTAAGACTCTCTGAAGAGAGATGTTGCTCCTTTATATCTAGAGATTTGGATTGTCTCTTAATTTGTGTGCTCACAAATATCATAGTAGAGCCATGCAATGAGCTTTTAAAGCTGCCCAAGTGATTTTCTCATCTTCTGACTTCTCTGATAAATACATCTCATGCCAGATCCTGTTTTACAATCTAACATGACATTTTGGGGCTGTAATGTTTCCAGTGGCATTTTTTTTAGGGGCACTGAATCTTCAGAAGGGCCACAGCAATAGACATGAAAAAATGATGTACAGTCTTCCCAAGAACAGGCAGAAATTCTTAGAAGGTGGAACCTACAATGATATCCTTATTCACTGGTTTTATTGTTGTCAGCTCAGCGTGCACACACGCACACAAAAAACACAGACTTTTTATTGCAAACCTCGCAGTGTAGTGGTGTTTCTTCTTTATTACAGAATCCTGTCTAGTTTTACTTTGAGGTGGACTGGAAATGGCCTTCCACTAAAAGAAAAATGTTTGCTGAGTACAAAGTTTCATCCCTTTATCTAAAACTGTCCCTGAAAGCCTTCAGATACTTAAAAGCAACAGCTTATAGGATTCCATTCTTACCTGGAATATTTTTTAATTTCCTTTCAATGTATGGAGGCAGAAATAGCAATTTATGTGCAGACAGAAAACCGTGATGCATTTTAGACATCTATCTGAATGCGTTGCCTATATTGTGTATAATGCAATAGAAGCGGGACAATAAATCGATTTGGCAATATATTGTGACATTTTGATACACTGGCACCAAATTTCGATTTCTTTCAAGAAAAACGTGCAGATATGTGTCTCGCCTGAATCTATAAGAGCAGCAGTATTTGCTAAATGTCAGACCAGGTCTAGCCATAGTAGTATTTCTATGTTTGCATAAAATAAATTGGGCAAGTCCTAATATGTGCTTTAGGTTTTCAGAGGTTTTTTTGCTAATTGACCATAAAATGTCAGCTGTGAAGCTGTGACTATTTTTATTTAAAGAAAATTCTTGTTGGAAAGCAATGAAATATGTGCATCTCAGAAACCAAGTACAGTAAGTGTACCTAAGTTCTCAAAAGTGACCATGCTTTTTGAGTTTTTTTTCTGGTTAAATTTAACTCAGTACGCCGATTTGAGTTGCTATGACTGATAAATCAGATGTGATCCTTCACTACATATTTCAGCAAGCTTTTTTCAGGTTTATGGCTATTTGGCTTCTGTGTATGCACATTAGTTTGACATTGTTTCTATTCCATAAAATTGATGTACTGTTAATAAATAATGTATATCTGACAGTTTTTGAAAAAAAACAAAAACTTTTTTTTTATTTGCAGTTATCATAGATTATTGCTGGAGTTGTGAAATGTCATTGTCATGGGCAAAATATTGTGACAGTATCATATCGTGAGTTAACCTGCGATTCCCACCCCTATAATGCAGACTCATGAGATGAGTTGTGTTCATTTACGCTATTTGTTCTTGTATTTGTGGTGTTCAGGAACAGGAATTGATGAAGATAGTTGGCATCAAGTATGAGGTGGGCTTGCCCACACTGTGCTGTCTGAAGCTTTCCTTCCTGGACCCTGATACAGGCAAACTGACAGGAGGATCCTTCTCTATGAAGTAAGCATCTCACTGTCATCACACAACAGCATCACACAGTCAAAGCAGTACTGAACATGAACCTGTGGTAGCACAGTCGTGTAAAGCTGCAATGCATATCAAACATTTCTCAACTTTGATGACATGTTGACACTTGTTATAATGTGTCTTATCCCAGACTTAGTTAATTTTTCCTGTTCTCACACTCATTTTCACTTTTTTCCCCAACAGTATGCAGATTTTCAGTGCTGAGTGTGAAACTATTCTCCTGAGTAATCTAGTCTAAGTTTCTTCTTTAAATGAGATCTCATCTTGACAAGAAAAAACAGGACCCGTAAAACATTTGATCCAATAATCCTGACGGACACTATAAAATAAAGGCTGTTTGAGGGTTGTAAACTATTGTGCTGCATATTTTGTGTCTGCCAAGAAGGTTGTTAAAAATGTTCTGTCATTGTTTTTGGACATTATTGGACTTAATTTATCTTTTTTTTGTCATGTTGCAGATACCATGACATGCCAGATGTAATAGACTTCCTGGTGTTGCGGCAGCAGTTTGATAATGCCAGAAAGAGGCAGTGGAGTATAGGTCAGCCTGTCCTGTCTTGGTTTCTGCCTTAGTCAGGCTCACTCGAAACATAAGCTGAATTTTTAATCAATATCAAATGTCTGATAAATACATGACATATTTTTCAGCCTTACTCAGTTCATGAAGTTAACTGTTTTCTTAAAAGTATCTAAACTTTCTGTGACGTGTATAGGCGATAGGTTTCGGTCAGTGATTGACGACGCCTGGTGGTTTGGGACCATTGAGAGCCAGGAGCCCTACCAGCCCACGTATCCTGACAGTCTGTTCCAGTGCTACAATGTCTGGTATGACCACAGCTTGGGCTTACTGTATTTGCAGTAGGGTTGTAGACCTAATCACTTTCAAAATGCAGTTTCAGTCAAAGCTCTATACAATCCCATTGTTACACAATGAATCTGTTACATTTGCTTTAGCAAGAAGATTCTTTGCATCAAACCTGGTGCTTCTAATTTCTCCTTAAGCTGCATCAACAAATGAAATGACTGAATAACAACACAGGCAGAACTGAAAATAGAGTCAAAGAAACCTCGCTGCTGCTGGTGGTGGGGAGGAGCAGGAAGTAGAGTGAAGTGTTACATTGTCTGTTTTTAGATTCAAGGCGATAGTGACTAAGTGATATACCTCACAAATGATATTTTGTGCAGCACTGCAGGTTAATGCCAGAAATATATATGCCAGAAAACTCCTTGAAACGACATAATAAAAATCAGTATGATTAAACTATGTCATGATAAATACACTATCACTAAAGTGCACTTTTATTAATGCACAGCTGGTCTCTGTGTACAAGGGGTGTCTTAGTGAATACAGAGGTTGAATGAGTTTGCGAGCCGGCTTGCCACCTAACACAGACAGAATAAGGAATTTCAAATAGAGTCATTACAATTGTTTACGCATAACAGGAAGTTGTTATCTTAGACAAACTCCAGTCTCATGTAGACAAATGGCTCCTTTTGATTATACACCTCCTCTCTCAGTACTCATTGACTGCACAAACACCTCATCACCTGAATCATTCATGAAACTCAATAGAACGATCCAGGTGTTTGGAATTGATATTTACAAACTAACCCTGTGCTTTGTTTTGTATTGTCTGATGTTAACTGTCATCAGTATTCCAGTATGAAACATTAATAAGCATGAACTTGTTAGAGAATGACATTTGCTTTACACTCAGGAAGACGAACATGATTGCTTACAACACTGCACAGCACCTATATAAAATACAAAGGAAATGACAAACACAACAATGTGATGATTCATATCAACATTGTTTCCCTTTCAGCTGGGATAATGGAGATACGGAGAAGATGAGTCCTTGGGATATGGAGCCCATCCCTGATGATGGTCAGTATCTAAAATCCACCCACACTTTGACACACACAAACACTCAAACTCTTTTCAAAGTAAAATTCAGTTTGTTTTTTTTTACACATTCAAGATTTGACAGTCTTCTCTCTATAGCCACGTTCCCTGACGAGCTGGGCACAAGTGTCCCCCTGATGGAACAAGAGCAGAAGGAGCTGCTGTACATCCCTCTGGATGGGGAATGGGGCTGCCACACACGTGCAGAGGAGTGTGAACGCATCATCAAAGCCATCAACCAGCTCTGCACACTCGGTAATGACATCATCATGCATCTGTGGAAATAACAGTCCACTTGTCATGTAACCAGGGAAGTAAAATTAAGCCCACCAGGGCACATTTCCAGTAAAGTGGTGGCAGCATGACTCTACCCAGCAAATCACCACTCTGAGCTCATCAGCAAGAGCCCAGGAGGGCCAGGGATCATATGTTAAGAGAAATAAGTACCTAACATGTTGAGATAGATGTTTACTTGAATCTCCTTTAATGTTTGCATGAGTGCAGTCAACCCATTGGAAGAAAGCTGGTCTGATTGTTCCCTCTAGTGAGAGTTTTGGGAAAAACACACAAGCAGCAACATCCTGCCACTTAATCCTTCTAGATCTCTCCCTGATACTCCCACGCTTCATGCTGCAGTTGGCTTAGAGGGCAGGGCTTATATTAACTCTTTAAGGTGCATTAGGTAAGAATATTCAGAATAAGCAGGAATATCTATAGCTGTTTGCAATATTCTGTGCACACAGGGTTCATTTGAAATAAGACAGAGTAGATATCTAACTTCTGGAAATGTCCTCCTAACCTCCCTTATGTTGCCTGCAGCCATGTAAACTTATTTGTTGAATAAACATACACCCTCACGCTGTCTTGCCATTTTGTTGTTGAGTCTTATCTCAAATACCTTTTCCTCCATCATCTTTAAACAGTATTAGAAAATGTTTTTGTTATAGTTGATGTGTTCCAGTAATAACCCTCTTTCTTGTGTATTCACATGTCTTTCATCCAATAAACAAATGTCACCCTCAAGATGTGGCAGCACCATTTGCCTTTCCAGTGGACCTACAAGCTTACCCCACGTACTGCACAGTAGTGGCCTACGTCACTGACCTCAGCACCATACGCCAAAGGCTAGTGAACCGCTTCTACAGGTACCTGACAGGTTGTGTTCAAGCCAAAGAGATGGCACATGATACAGATTGGGTGTATGAGTGTGAGAATTAAAGACACGCCGAATACATTTGTATTTCATTTTCAGACGGCTGTCCTCACTGATGTGGGAGGTTCGTTATATAGAACACAACGCCCAAACATTCAATGAGCCAGGGTCATTCATCGTCACTACTGCGAAGTTTGTCTCCGACCTCATGCTGCAGTTCATTAAGTGAGTATAGGGCATCATTAATTCAAAAACCTGTATGTTGTTTTATAGAAAAATAATGTCAACTGCTTGGCGTCTGTTAGGAATCTAGGGTTTTCCCGACTAAGGATTTTGTCAGTCAACTGCCAGTTGGCTCTTCAGAGCGACTATTTGTTTTTTTTCTTCTTTCTTTTTTAATATGTATACTGTATCTAGCTTGGCTGTCACAGAATCAACTGGTATGAAATTCATTGATGATTTTGACCACACATCAGTATTTAAATGAAAAAGAGTGACAGGAACATATTTCTGAGTATTAAAAATCAATAAAAGACAACTGCATCAGACGATTTATAATGTCGGTCTGAATAATGAGACAGGCAACACACTTGTATTTCTTTTGAAACAATGCTCTTATAGGCTATGCTTTCTTCTGAGATGTTGTTGTAGCCTAGTTTACCAACAAGCTTCTCCCATCAGTTAACCACAGCGCACGTTGTTTCTGTGTGTTTGATGCGTGCGAGCTTGTACTGTGAATGATTAACGGAGATGGGTAAATAAACATTAGGCCATGCAAAATCAACCAGGGTGTACTGGGGGAAGTACTGAGCAAATTTCTGTTTGGCACACCAAAATGAGGAGAAGAAGAAGATAAACTACGGGGCTGGGGCAACTTTCTGTTGTAATTCACACTGGCTAACATAATATTTTATATATATATATGGTTAGTGCCGTTGCCTCACAGCAAGAAGGTTCCGGGTTTGAGCCCCCGGCCGGCCCAGGCCTTTCTGTGTGGAGTTTGCTTGTTCCCCCTGTGCCTTCATGAGTTCTCTTGGGGTTCTCCAGCTTCCTCCCACAGCCCAAAGACATGGAGCTTAGGTTGATTGGTGACTCTAAATTGCCTGTAGGAGTGAGTATGAGTGTGAGTGTGTGTGATTGTCTACATATCAGCCCTGTGATAGACTGGCGACCTGTCCAGGGTGTACCCCGCCTCTCATCCAATGCCAGCTAGGACTAAGAGGGATTTCTGTTCTCCCCTCTTCTTTTTTTCTTTAACAGGGACCAAAGTCTGACAGAGATCATGCCACTCTACAAAACTATGAAGAAAGCAACCTTCTCTGACTCTGAAGATGAGGTGTGTTTGCACATACTATATACAGAAATGCACTCAGTTGGTAAGTTATTAGGTACACCAGACTAAAACTCAAACCCCTTCAGTTTTTGCACATTGCAAATTTGATTAACTTGTCATTTCTGTCATCCGTTTATTCTTAGAAAACTCAAAAAACTACAAGAGAAATGAAAACACAGTTTTAGAAGCGCATTACATATCAACAATTGAAATCTCTCATTTACAAAAGTATTCTGAACCTTAATTTAGAACTTTATAGAAGTTCATTTGGCAGCAGTTACAGCTGCACATCTTCTTGACACCTTGATTTGGTCATTCTAACCCATTCTTCCTGGAATAAGTCCCTCTTCCTTCTGACGTCCTGCTAGAGTGAACAATGGGTTCTTGGTCTTCTTGGCCCATCTTGCGTGGTTGCTCAGTTTGCTTTAGAAATGGGTTTATACGCTGGCCCTGGTCTAAGCTTCACCACTGTAAAACATGTTTTTGTCCTGAGGTACAGTGTGACAATTTAGTTTTCCACAGGTGTATCAATGAAACATTCTTTTAGTGAACAGCCCACAGCACGACTTTAACATGTGTCTCCTTAATTTTTTTCTTCCTGTGAAGGATGATGAGGAGGATGATGAAGATATTAATACTCCTGGAACATCTACACGGAACCATAAGGTAACACAGCAGCAGTACGTTCCCATACATCTTAGAATTAAAACAAACCTCATTAAACTCCATTGTGTCATCTTTTTAGATTAGAAGCTGTTCTTCTGTTTCAGAATTCAGCATCTAAAGGAGACGAGGCTGTTTTGTATCAGCTAGTGCAGTTACTTCTGTTTACTTAGTATTATCATTGTTTTGTGTAGGCTCGGCGACCAATGCAGCGCCAACTGCGAAATCGACCACATTCGTATGACCCTCATGCGTGGAGGGGTCGGTGTAAGGAGCTGCTGGATCTCATCTTTCAGTGTGAAGACTCAGAGCCCTTCAGAGAACCTGTGAACCTACGAGAGTATCCGGTACCTGTGCAGTAAAACTCACACTTTCTTTTAGAGATGCACCAGTTGACCGGCAGAGATTGGAAATGGACGGTTTTTAACATGACCGGCCTTGACTGATGACTGGCTGGTCACTGATCAGATTTAGAGGCAGGGCAGTCCATGTCAGACACACACACACACACACACACAGTGGCACAGACCAAAAGTGTAGCATGTGCATGGGTAACATTTTGTGTGCACATCGAGTGAGGCTCGCGCTTGCATCTGTATTGAGAGTGTGTTCACTCGTGTTGGAAGTGCTTGGTGTACAAACAGCGAACAAAGGAGCTACAGAAACACCTTGGAAGCTATATTCAAATCTCTGACAAATAGTACACAGTGAGTGAATTATGGGCTACACATGAAATGCAAATATATATATATATATATATACAGTGTATCCAACCCATGGTAAAACATAGCCAATATAAACTACACACACTTCAAAAACTGTGTGCTCAGTAGTAACAGACATTCTTCTGTTTCTATTACCTGTTGCCTCTGTTTATATTTGGAAAGTACAAGTATTACACTTTTAGTCAGACGTTTACAAACAAAGGTGTCAGAGAAAGATGGAAATGTAAAATGTTAATATGTTTTTATTTTATTACAGTTTAGTTTTCCATCAAAGAAAAGTTGCAAAAATGTTTGTATATGCTGGCAATTACAGTTCTTAGAAAGAAAACTGGAATCGGCAGGGCAGACTGAACTTTCTTTAAGTGTGGTGTGCACACATGAAATCCATCCTCAAAAGCTCAGTTGACCCAGTTTAACTTATTGTGAACTTCCTGTTCACACATTGGTTAGCAGTTTCAGTTATCTTTTTTAGCCTTGAGTGTTGCTTTACAGTCAGTCTGGGGCATAAGTAACTATATATCATTTACACAAGGACTGGTATCTGAGGCAAGACATTTCATAGAGAGGCAATTGTTTTCCATAGGCAAAGAAACAAATGTCACTATTTAAAACAATATGCATTACAAACCTGAATAAAATCATTTGACAAAATAAATATACAGTGCTGTTAAAATGAAAGAAATTACAGAAATTGAAAATATAAACAAAGAGGGAAAGATAAAAGAAGATTAGAAACACAACTACAGTGCAGTAAAATGTTTTAAGCTACAACACAGGAAACAAAAGTGCAGTAGAGAAACTGATAAATCAGAAGCACAGGAAAACAGCAGAACTTTCAGTTTGGATATGGATTTGAACAGGTCTCTCCATTCAGCATCTGAGTCGAAGACCAAATGCAATGAAAGAATAATCTGTGAAACAGAAACAAAGTGCACAGACTGGCAGCTTCAGTGGGCTAGAGTTCTTCTTATTCGCAGAAGAAATGTCTAATCCTGTTGCTGGTTCAGGATTTTTTTCCTAGTCCACTCAAAGTGAAAACCCAGAATCTCTCCCTTCCGTTCTCACTTCTTGAAACCTGTTAGCTTAAATGCCCTAACTTCTTTTTGCTTCTCCCAGGACTACCTGCAAATCGTTGATTCACCAATGGACTTTGGCACTGTTCTCAACGCGCTAACAGCAGGAAAGTACCAGTCTCCCATTGAGCTCTGTAAAGATGTCCGACTCATTTTCAGCAATTCCAAAGCTTACACGCCCAGTAAGAAGTCTCGGGTGAGATACACATGCACAGACACAAACAAAATAAACTAAAATACAACCATTTATTTATCGTATCCAGTGTTCATAATTTCTGAACTCCATAATAAAAATACTCTGCTTTTGAACGTTTATCTCTTTATTGTCTACTAACAGCAGTTGATTCGTCGTGTTCTTTCTTGTGTTGGCAGATCTACAGTATGAGTCTGAGGCTTTCTGCACTGTTTGAAGAGCATATCAGCTCTATCCTGGCTGACTACAAGGCCATCCATGGCCTGACAGATAGACTGACCAGACAGGGCACAGAACGACAGACGCGATTCACCACAGACAGACAGACACGGCATGCCATGAAGAGGAGGAGGCGGAGGAGCGAGTCTCCCACAAGCAGCAATGCTTCCAGGTACAAGGAAGGACATTTTATTATAGATGTTGTAACTCTTACTGTGCAATAAGTGCAATCTTTTGTATTTTTTTTTCTTTTTGTCCCATCGTGTCTCTAGCCCAGAGAGGAAGAGACGTGTATCATCCAGGGTGACTGCAAAGAGGGAGCCATCCCCAGCTCCTTCACGATCCTCCTCCCTGAGGCAGAGTGTACCCCTTAAACAGCTCCCCCAGCTAGTCAACGGGAAGGCGGACACACCGACTGCAGGGCGGACACGCAGCGCAGCACGCCACTCTGCACACTCTCCACCCTCCTCTTCCTCTTCACATAACACTGCGAGCAACACACCGAGCACAGCAGGTAACATCACAGATATGTAAAATCAATATTAAACCAATTTGTAGTTTGAAAAGAGTAGTTCAAGATTTCAAAAAATGTGCTCATTTGCATTCTTGCTGAGAGTTAGATCGATACCACTGTTATGTCTTTGCATTAAATATGAAGCAGCTGGTTACTGAGGTGCCTCATAATGACCACATGTAGCATGCTTCGCCATTTCCTTTGGTTCCTGCATATCTTTTTGCCATTGTCAGAGTCTACTCGTTTGCTGAGGGCTCATAACTCTGTGTCAGCTTCAACACCACCAGCTTCTGAAAAAGTGACACCCACTCCAGTCACAGAAAGTAGCATTGGCGGAAGCACCCGGCGGAAACTCAGGACTCCTGTACGACATACACCTGGTAAGAAATAATGTCACAAAGAAGTGATGGTGTAATACTTAGTTTAAAGTCATAAAATTAGCATTTAATGTCACCTCCCGGTTGTGGATCGATGTTTTCCTACTTTTGCCTTGTAAATCAATGCCTTTCGCTCTCAGGTTCTCCTGCCAGCCCTTCATCTCAGAGCACAGTCCACCTGAATGGCCACAGTAGTCATATGACTCTGAGCATGGGGAGAAGGGGGCGGAAATCCAGAACGGACCCACCGGTGAGTCCTCCAGAGGTTACAACCCCAACCAGCCCTTCCAGAGCCCGAGGTCGCCCGCCTGGTAAGAAGAGAGGCAGGAAGAGCAAGCAGGAGCTGGAGGAGATCAGAAGGAGCAGCAACCGCAGGAGCTCCACCCCTGATGATGAACTCGACCAGTCAACGGGCGACGAAGGCGGGACATCTTCCACACAGGAAACATCTGTGCTGTCAGACTCTGGGACAGTGTCAGTGCCTAGACGGCGTGGCCGGCCCCGAGTGGTAAGAACTGATGACTCCACTCCTCCGACTGAGTCGCCTGAGCCCTCACCGCTGAGGAGGAGCAGCAGGAGAGCCAATGAAGAGGTCACGCCTCCGGCACAGACTGCTCCCCAGCGATCCAGTCGTAAGGAGTCTCCAAAGGAAGAGGCAGGGGAGGGGACAGGAGCGTCCATGCGCACACGTAACCAGGGGCGGCGGTCGGCATGGTACATGGAGGAAGACTCTGAGGAGGAGCAGAGGCAGCTGCTGTTTGAGGACTCATCAATCACCTTTGGCACCTCCTCAAAGGGACGTGTCCGCAAGCTGACAGAAAAGGCCAAAGCCAACCTGATAGGCTGGTAACACCACAGACGTGCAGGGTGTGGAGAGGAGAGAAGAGATCTGGCTGAGATTTCTGAGCTTATGCGTGGGAAGAGTAGGGGGCCGAGTTGAGGAAGTCATGCTCAGTGTTGTATGCATTTGTGTGCACATATGTGTTTGCGGGCCTGGGGAGCCACTGGTCCAGCTGCTGATATTTGAAGCTGCAGCTATGGAGAGAAAACAGTGCAGTTAATGTACATGTCCACTCCTCCTTCCTCCTGACCCAGGTAACACATCACGACAGCAGCCGGTGATTTCCTGACAACACGTTCATTTGACCTTACTGGTCAAGTTGGATCCGACCGGCATTTGCTGACTCCTTCGTTGGTGGTTTTGTAACTCGCTTCTGTCCAGTAAACCACTCTTCACATCTTTCTGACCTGTTGGTGTCAGACTGGGCAAAACAGCAGTTGAACAGAATTTTAGTACTTGAAAAAAATCACGAGGAGAGCTGGCTGTATCTTATCTCTGCTGGGTATGTCAAAGAATGCCCACTGATCTAAAATTGGTAGGTTTGTGGCAGACTACAGACCGCTGGCCTCACAACGTCTTTCACCCCCTCTTCATTCTTCCCACTCTTTTTTAATAGAACCCCATCTGCTTTTCTAAGATTTCTACGTAACAATAAGCTCTCTGTTTTGGAAGTCTTACAGATTGGTTGACCTGAGTGTGTCTGTCTGCGCTAAAATACCAAATGGTGTACCTTTGTAGGTACTGTAGATCTGTAGGATTTGTTTACTATTTGTGTGTGTGTGTGTGTCTGAATGTGTGAGTTGTCTTTCTTTTGCATGTTAATTAGAAGGAGGAAGCATCTCTTTTTTCTAGAAGCTGTTTTTACTGTGAGGAGAAAAAGAATTCTGAGTGAAAGGGGTCATTTAAATGTTTCAATAGATCATGTGTCAATGCGTCCTCAACATTAGCAATACCTTGTGCCTTTATGTCTTTGGTCTGTGTGCGCGCGTGTGTGTGTGTGTGTAAGCGTGCTTGGCCCTGGCCCTGCAAAGTACATGTGCCTGTATGTGTAAAAACTTATGCTGTGACTGTGCGAATGTGTGCAAGTTAAGGAATGTGCGTGTTTTTATAACACAACTATCATTCATTTCAGCGTACAAACAGTGGCATACAGTTTGGTCATTGTGAAACCTCTCAAAGAAATGTATTTATAGCGGTTGATAAAAAAGACTTTACTATTGTTGTGCGCACCATTAATCATATCAGTATATTACCCTATAACCAGCCTATGGTCAGTTTATACCCGAGGTACAGTGAGTGGAGCTGTGGGCGACTAGCTTTGAGATGCACTTACCACAGGCTGGTTATCATTGCAGTTGTAGGGAGTAACGCTGTGTATTTTAAAATTGTTAACATATAAAATTGAACTTCTAAAATGTTATGTTTCTATGGTGACCACGTGCGTGCACACACGCACATACACACACACACACAGACACACAGTGTCTTGCATGTTCTAGCACCTTCTCATGCCTAAAGCAAAACAAGATTGAAACTGGAGAGGCAGAGAGACAAGTCTTATATTCATCTGTCTGATTGTGTGCCTTTGCTACTCTGGCATATTGAATTCTTGGTTTTTCCTTTTGGGGCCTTTTTTGTGTTTTGTTTCTTTTTTAAATTTTGTTTTTGGACTTCCTGGTTCTGCTCATCGCTGGGAGAACTGGACTTTGGGGACTGGGCCGGACCTGACAGGCTCATGCGGATGGCTTATGAATGAGAGAGGAAACTGAAAAAGTAACAGTGACAGGAGACATTGTCTCACTATCTCTGTCCATTCCCCTAACTGACTGAGTTTATAAAGATGGCGGTCTCCACTTTTGACATAGTTTTGCTTTTCCCAGCACAGAGCAAATAAATGCCAAAATCTGACACCTGTGTTATGAGAACTGGACGTAGCTTCTATGTACATCAGGTTCACTTCATAGGTCTTTCATGTCACATATTATTCTGCATATATGTGTTTATCATTTTGGTGTTGTTTTGTTATGGATGCCAACTTCTGTCTTTGGGCACTGAAGTTTTAGAGCATGGCTTTTGAATGTGTTTATTTTCTGAAGCAGTTTTACTGTGTTGACCTTTTTGCATATAATGCATCAGCTGTATTCTGTCTGTTCCCTTGTCATAGAAGACAATGTTTTGGTGGCTGTATCTATGGAGCCTCACGGTTGGAAGGGTGTTTTATACTCTGTCACATATTATTGGACAATTTACAACATTTTTCAGTCATAAGCACTTTGTCTGTATTATATATATGAAGAGTTTTGTTCCAAATTGAGACAGTCTAAAACGCTGACACCTCCTTCCTGGAATAACTGTTGATATTAAATCTTATTAATTGGGATTTTTTTTTTAATTAAAATGGAAATCTAATGATTTTTTTCCATAAAAATAATTTGTGGGCATTGGTTGGTTTCATGTTAATTGAGCTGTAAACTCTTCATAGACACATATAGGTTTGGGAAATAATTGGCAGCTAACCACACCTTTTGTTTGGTACACAGCAACCATTTTATTGGAAGTATGGGTGTTATTTGCATTCTTTAATCCTTGTTGAAATACAGCCAAATTAGGAATGCAGTTGTCAAATCAAGTGGACATGAAACCTGTTTATCCTGCTGTCGGCTCCTGCTAATCGGATCACCCACATTATCTGTATTTATCGAATCTATCCAAGTTAAAGAGCTGATTCACCAATAATGGTCTGGTTACCTTAACCGTGTTGGTAATAATCTGCAACTTGTATCATTCATTTCAAAGAGGCTGTAGGAGCAAGTCATGGTTTGTTACCCACAATTGGTACATTAATGTATTTGACCATTTCAAACATACATCAGTCCTACCTGCCCTTGTACAAGCAGGACCTCATTAAATTCACGTATCAGTGCTTTTCAAATTAACTCAACATTTCAGATCCTCTCTCTTACTTCATGAGACTGTGTGTGCTTTTTTGGATTCATGTACACATGCATTTATTCATCACATGGGTCTGTGTTAACGTGTGGCAGAGTTGAGCTAGTTAGGGTGTCTGACTGGGCATCATGCTGTTGGGTCAGGGGTTAAAGTTCACAGTGTGTGTTTGTGTATGTGTGTGTGTGTGTGTGAAGCGGCTGCATGTGGGCCACAGGGAAGCATTTTGTAATGATTTCGGTTTTGAGACGTGGGATGGGAAGGAACTGAACAGGAAGGGGAAAGGGTTCTGCTTCACATGAACTGACTGAGGAGGTCTTTGCTAGTTTGGATATGTTTTATATAAAAAGGATTTAAAACA